TTCACAGTAAGAAGACAAAATTTGCTCTGCTACTTCTTCTTCTTCTCCAAAAAGGTCAATGACCAAGACCAGATGTCTGCCACCATGATAGCTGGTGCTGTAGCAGACACCCTGTGGTGTTAGGTAACATTATGTAGCAAGCTGCAAGACAGAGCTCAAGGAGCTAGTCACCACCATATACTAGTTTATGAAATATGTATTTGAGAAAGAATGAACAGAGCACTAGTTTGTTAGGCTAGGCCATGTGAAGGTGGGACTTCATGTGGCATCCAAGATAAAGTAAGATACAGGTTTCCTAAATCTCTAAATCTAAGATCCTATGACTAACCTGGTTACCAGACCTATTTTAGCTCCCTAGTCTACATCTTTCTGCAAATAGTTAAATTCAAAAATAGGTCTGGTAACCAGGCTATCCAAAGACTGCCTATTGTATTGTGTAAGTTTTATTTATTCATTTCAATCTTATTTATTTCATCTTATAAACACCTGGGTAGCCTCTACAGCATAAGATTGCTGATTTCCAAGAGGGCCCAGGGTCACAAACAAAGTTTGTGCCTTTGTGTTCTCCAGCAAAAGTGCAAGCAGTACTGGCCTGACCAGGAGGACACGTATGGAGACATCACTGTGAAGGTGAAGAGTGTGGAGGAACTGTCCGACTACACCATTCGCAACTTCGTCATGACAAAGGTACATATTTCTTATGTCATACGTAAATAGTGGCATCAATGGTGCAACAGTTAGTGCGTAGGACCAATAGGTCTTGGGTTTGATAGTTACTGCGGCCCGACGTTGTGCCCTTGGGAAAGGCACTTTACACGACTTCCCCACCTGTACAGTGGAGTGACGCCCATCGAGCCCTTTTAGGCTAATCTGTCTAACTGTGTGCCAAAAACACACTATGGGTTTGATGTGCCAAAATGACAACATCTGCACTTTTGCCACAAAGAGCCGTAAATTTTTTTTATAATTATGTAATACATACATTCCAAAGTAATGTCAGGATACTGCAGTACTGTAACAGTTACAATAAGTCCTAAGAAACCAATTTTCCAATTGTACCTCATTATGTGAATGTCTACTAACCTTCATCGACCTAATTATGAAAACTTACCATTTTCAGGCAGGAGAGGAAGAGAAGCGACAGATAAAGCAGTTCCACTTCACCAACTGGCTGGACCACGACGTTCCCGACCACCCAACTCAGTTGCTGGCCTTCATACGCCGGGTCAAGGCTCTCACACCACTGGAGGCTGGACCAACTATCGTGCACTGCAGGTAGGAATAGTCAAACTGTAAATTAATCTATTTTGCAGGGACTTAATGATGAGATGTTAGTAGCCAGTTAAGGCCATGGCTGACAGAAAATTTGCAGTTTCCAATGGGCCAATTCCCACCTTTGAAGAAGAAATTTAAACATACTGTTTTGCTCAGTTTCCTATTCTTCTCCTTCTCCAAACAAATAAGGTCAATGACCTGGACCAGACGTCTGTCACCATGGTAACTGGTGCTGTAGCAACACCCTGTGGTGTTGGAGTACATTTTGTAGCAAAACAGAGTTGGAGAGGCTGCTCACCATACATGACTTTGAGTAAGGATAAGCCGTGCAGTACTTTGTTGGGTTAGACCAGGACTGGTGAAGGTAAATATTATGAATTTGCTTTGCAAATGTTACCTTTCTAGTTTAAAAGCATTTCTTTTATATTGTGTCCTGCACAGTGCTGGAGTTGGTCGGACAGGCACGTTCATCGTGATTGATGCGATGCTGGAGATGGCTCGTCACGAGGCCCATGTGGACATCTTTAACCACGTCCTGCAGCTGCGTAAGGCTCGCATTCAGATGGTCCAGACACCGGTATGAGCTTTTACCTTCCTCAGGTTATGTTTTTGGTAGCGTGTATGTGTATGTGTGTGTGTGGCATGTATATGTGTGTGTGACTGTGTATGTGTGTGTGTGTGTGTGTGTGTGTGTGTGTGTGGTATGTGCGTGTGGCGCGTGTGTGTGTGTGTGTGTGTGTGTGTGTGTGTGTGGTTTAGCACGATAACTCAAGAAGCTATGGATAGATTGTCATGAAAGCTGGTGGTTGGGTAGGTCTTGTTGAGGGCTTGGAATGATAAGATCTTGGTCCTCCTTGAAAAGCTTGTTATGGTACTGCAGCAGACACCAGTACACACTTATAAACATGCATATCCTGTCTCAAGGATGACGTCATGAGTGTCCAGGATACTTTAATCTTTGTAGAGGCGTCAGACACTGACAAAAAAGTTTATGCAAACAGGACCAGTATGCGTTTATCCACGAGGCAGTCCTGGAGGCCCTGCAGACCGGCGACACCCACATCCCCGTGTCAGAGTTCAGGGAAGGGTACGAAGCCATGACACGCAAGAGGCCAAAGGTCAAGAAAAGCCCCCTGGATGAGGAATTCAAGGTAACTCTCAACCCTTATATAAATGAATACAACTCTTAGACTGTATTGTTCTTGTTCTTGTCTGAATCTTGAGTCCATCCACAAATGTACAATGTACCTATAGATAGTCATACAAACAAGAAATCAGAGACTTTAGACTGTTGGGTTTTCGTGACCGTCAAGTTAACAGAACTCTGGGACCTCTGGGACAGAATATATTGGGACTCTGCAAGGGATTTTATGATGTATAACAACACGTCTGCTTACTCCCACATAGCTCATGCAAGGTCACCTTCAGGCATGACCTGTCAATCAACCGACAAAATCACCTCCCACCCACCATGCTACAGAAGCTATTTGGACAAACACAAACTCAGGCAACTAAAACAATACTTCCTTACCTGGAGGAAGTTAAGGATGACATGACACATTTTGTATAAAGAAAGGAAATTGTGGCCCTTACCTGTTTCTTGCTAACAGTGACTTTCGGTCCTTATTTTTCCACATCTCTTGTTGTTTTTTAGCTCCTGGTAAAGATGACTCCAGCTTTTGACCCCGAGGACAGCAATGCTGGTTGGCTGGAGGAGAATAGGAGGAAGAACAGGGATCAGAACGTGCTGCCAGGTGGGGGAACTACAATCAACTAAGTTGTGCTGTCTGAACTTTCTAGAATTAAACTTTTTAGAAACTGGACGTCCCTCACTGTCCCACAATTCCTGACAGCAGCCCAAGACAGGAAAACCTGGCTACACCTCTGCTGCAAAGTCTGCCTTGTCCCCCAAACGACCAGTGTCAGTCATGGGACTAGGTAGGTGGGTAAGTAGGTAGGTAGAAACTGATAATCGACAGCAAGGTGGTCTTGTGGTTAGGTTGTTGACTCTGAGTCATCAGAATATGAAGGTTCTGGGTTTGAATCCTTGGCAGGCTCCACTGTTGTATCCTTGGGAAAGGCACTTTACACCTATTTTTCTGACTCAGCTCAGGTGAAAATGAGTACCTACATTGTAGCTTTGGTTACCAGGGACTTCCTCTCAGATACGTCTTAGAGGGGAGGTCCTGTGTTTGAGAGGAGCCACAATTGAGAATGGCTTAGTACCTGAAAAAGGCCTTAAATTGGGAAAAGTCTAACATTGTGACCTCTTTGTTAAAAGGAAACTATTGACGTTAATATAATATTATTCTTCTCTTACCTGTAGTGGATTCCCAGCGAGCTGTCCTGAGTACTGCAGAGGAGAACCAGAGCGACTACATCAACGCCATGTACCTGGACGTGAGTTAAATACTAATCATTAACAACACACACATTTTGTACCTGATCAGATGGTCTATTCCTATCGTATGGGAAGACATATAATGTCAGAACCCCAAGATGTACTTGGGACCTATGCTAAGTCGTGGCAAACACCCCATAGTGTTGTAGCCGTATTAACCGACCTTCGGCGTAACACACCAGATTTGGGTTACATTATGTGTGTACCAAGTGGCAGGACAGAGTCGGAGGGGCTAGAAACCACGTGCTCAGGAGTAAGACTAAACAGAGCACCTGGATGTTAGATACTAAATCATTAACAACACACACATTTTGTGCCAGATCGGATGGTCTATTCCTATTGTATGGTAGACATTATAGAGTCACAAGATATACTTGGGATGTCATGTGGCAGACACCCTGTGGTGTTGGGTTACATTATGTAGCAAGTGGCAGGACAGAGTTGGAGGGGCTGGTCACCATACATAATTTATATGAATGTGTTTGAGTAAGACTAAACAGAGCAGTAGCTTGTTGAGCTAGACCATGTGAAAGTAAACATGATGCATTTCCTTTGCATATGTTACATTTCTTCTTTTTTTTTTACTTCAATTTTTCACCTCAAAATATTAGGCTCACACAAACCACTTAGAATTCTAGTTCAATGTAATCTTTAACCCGATATTCTGGTTGCTGCTGTGTGTCCTTCAGAGCTACAGGACTCGTAATGCCTTCATCGTGACCCAGACTCCCCTGCCCGACACAGTGGCTGACTTCTGGCAGATGGTGTACGAACACGGCGCTCAGACCATCGTAATGATGAACTCTCTCAGGAGGAAGGACAAGGTGGGAGGGGGCAGTCGTTTTGTCCATATGTGATAATGGTGTGTTAGTATAATTTAGCACACACTGTTGCTGACTTCTGGCAGATGGTGTACGAACACGACGCTCAGACAGTTGTAAAGATGAATAATCTCCAAGCAGAATTTAGGTGGCTGCAAAAGATAGTATCAGATTGGCCAGGCAGTATCCATTGGTCAGAGTGTTAATCCATTTGCCAATCAAATGGATACATTCTGGCCAATTTGGATACTGCCTGGCCAATTTGATGCTGTCTTTTGTGGCCACCTAAACATCTGCTTGGAGATTAATGATGAACACTCTCAGGAGGAAGGACAAGCCGGGAGGGGGGCATTTTTTTATGTGATTACAGAATGTGTTAGAATACTGTACACCCGGTGTGCGTTGGCAGAACGTACTGCGCCTGCGCAAAACCTGTTATGCAGTGTGCATAGCAGAACTTCTCATTTAACCGTTCTATTTGCATATTTGAGAATGACATCCCGATTATAGTATTCAAGTGTTGAGTTGGAAAAGGTATCGTCTGCGATGCACAAAATCCTGATGCAATGTTGATGAAACACCCAACAGAATCTGTCATTTTGAGCAGGCGCAGTATGATGTGCTAGAGGGGGGAAACTAGATGTACATATACATGTATGTGTAGATGACATATGGTTAGAAGCTTATTAGGACACAGTTAGATACTGTTACTTTTTAAGTTTCTCTAGACTAGAAGTCTTGATGTGTCAGCATGTTACCATTTTGATCGCAGGACATGGTGCAGTACTGGCCTGAAGAGGAAGGTGGAGCTATTGAGTATGGCCCTATCCGTGTGGAGCTGACCTGCACCACCAAGGCTGTCAACGTCACCATCAAGGACTTCCTACTCACAAACACCAGGGCTGTAAGTGGAAATGTTTTCATATACATGTATACTATGAAGCAAGCTTGAACTGTAATGACACACGTGAGCAGTGGATCATGGGCTGCAGAAAGTCTTTGGCACCTCCAGTCTTTGTTAAGGGATGCTTGCAATAAATGCCCTGATGTAGATGGCCTGTTTTGCTTTTGAATTGCAACTAAAATCTGTAAAAATATGACGAATGCCACAACAGAAAGAAGTCCATCATAGGTGCATACTTTAGATGTAGGTGACCAGGGCTGTGATTTCAAGTTAGATATAAATTGCTCAATATACTTTTTAGATGTCAACAACTTCAGGGTCCAGAGGGTACAAAATCAAAGACTGGATACTACTACTACTACTGGCATACCTACTACTTCTCTTTCTACTCCTACTATAAATTTCACCTCTGTGTCTCTCTAACAGGACAGCGAGGATGTGCGTATGGTGAAGCACTTCCAGTTCCTGGGCACGTCACGTGACCAGCTGTGCTCTCGTTCCCGGGGTGCCATGGTGGAGCTGCTGCATCTCCTGACCAGTTGGCAGAGCGAGTGTGAGCCAGGGCCAGTGGTGGTGCACTGCCTGTAAGTTACTGGGATTAGCTTGTCTTAACATTACACAATTACAATCATTTAAAATGTACAAAGCACGAGACTCAGTATAATGGTAGAGTTTAGCTGCAACAACAAAAGGGGAACTCACCATGAATTATCGAATGAACTCGTCAACCTTTGTCAGATGAATGGTCCACTCACTGATGTCTTTCTGGAAGTCGGAAGCATGATGACATCAGGAGAGAATTGAAAGTTGTCAGAAGATGGAATCTTCCACTCTCACTGTTTGTTGTTGGATCAAAGCTAATAAGCTTTCATTCAACGTACTATTCAACATTTCCGGTGGAAGCAAAGAACTTTGACCCGGTCCTGATGTCACAGGTGCGGCAAAATCACCTGACTACTGAGCTTGGGTCAGACACCTGATAACGTGGTCAATTTTTTTTTCTCATGAAGTTTTCTTCTCCCCAGGACTGGAGTAGGTCTGAGTGGTGTGTTCTGTGTGGCTGTGTGAACTTTCTGACTGTGATTCTGTGTGAACTTTCTTAAAGTAGAATGTTTCATGTCTCCCAGTACTGGAGTAGGTCTCAGTGGGGTGTTCTGTGCGGCTGTGAGTCTGTGTGAGAAAATGGAAGAGGAGAAGTCAGTCGACATCTTCCAGGTGGCTCGCACTCTCACCATCCAGCGTCCCCACATTATCAACTCGGCTGTAAGTACAATGTGCAACTTAATTTGAAATCTACTATCATGAATTTCATCTGAGTTGGTAGTTGAAACGTTTGATTGAACACAAAGAAGTTCCCTCAACTAAAGTTTTAGATTTTGACCCGTGACTAGGTGAGAGAACGTCCGTGTGTTGGATCAAATGTTTCAACTTTAAACCTTTATGAAATCTATAAACACTGTATAAGCTGAACAGTTTGAATTGTGTGAGCATGTTGGTAGAATGTAAATGCAACTGCAAAAAAACTGTAAATATATTGTACACAGCCCTTTAGAATGTTTTGTTTAAGGTTGCATTGATTTAAGGATGACCTGCCATACTCAAATCTGGTATCAGAAAAGGCATTGTCTGCAACAGGCAAAATTCTGATGCAACGTTGACAAAACATCCCATGAAAACTGCAAAAATCTGTGTTTAATGCAGGTGCAGTACATTCTGCCAACATGCTAATTGTATATTATATTGTGACAAAGAAATTTAATGAATAATCTTACCTTTGATTCCATTGTTCCACAGGAGCACTACAAGTTTCTGTACGATGTGGCCATGGAATATCTCAACTCACACCACGGTCTGCTCAACTCACACTGAGATGCTCATACAAGACAGTCAGCATCAGGGAAACAGTCATGATTTCACGATCATAATGCCATCTTTGAGCCAGGTTTAGTATATTTTACCAAAGGAGACCAAAACTTAAAATTGAAAAGCATACTATACCATGCTAGATACTAGTATACCCTAAAATTAAGTTCTCATCTGTTTAAATATCATAATGATTGTTTTCCTATCGTTTGTTATCATATCACATACAACTGACAAAGATTTAGATTACAATCATTTCAGAAATCTAACTTGTTGTCATATTATAATGTAACTGACAGTAAAGGACTTTAATATGATAAAGATCAATTTACTAATGTTAATTACAAGAACAAACTAGACAGTAAAATCCTACTAATACTTAGTATAGTTTCTTAATTTTAACAAATATTACAATACAGAGCCGTATAATTTCGATTGCAGGGTGATTGATTAAAATTGGAGGGTGAAATTGAAAAGAGTACCACAACATAATAATAATAATAAAATTACATTTGCCAAATGATGTTAACCTTTGTGACATATTATTAACTTAAAGGTATATAAATGACTGCAAATAAGGTCCTCACTTGCATAGATCATTAGTTGAATATGATCTTCTCTACCCAAATGGCACAAGTTGTCCAAAGTTTTAAAGTGTTAAAGCAAAGAAGGCTATTGCAACATGTTCTTATATTTAATTGTAAATGAGGCCCAGATTTGCATGGCAGATAGTACATAGTAGGTAATGTGTTACTCATCATTTAACCCTATACTGATCTGTCTTACTGTTTGGAACAGTAAGAGTTAATATGTACAAGACAGTAAGGTATAAATAAAGTCCAGTATTCAGTATGCTATCAGCTTTGTTGGATGTGATCATTGCTGTACTAGATCTTGTATTCAGATCAGAGAACCTTCTTTCTTTCCTGGGATGTTAATTTGCTTCTTGAAAATACTTTCAAATTGGTAAGCTTTTAATGACAGATCTAGCAATGAAAGTTTTCTTTGGAAAAAGTTTTAAATAGAACGTCATGGGCTTGGAATTTCCAAATTTTTATGGCATGCCCCAGGACCCTCTACTTTTGCCGGCACTCTTACTACCAACTATTTAAGATGATGTCTACATGACTTGTACAATCATACATTGTATAAAAAAAATACACACAGGTGAAGACACAACACAGTTTGACTTGCTCATTTATTTGTAGTCTTGATAACTCTACTGAGAATATATAATGTAGATAACTCCTGTGTGTTCACTGTTTCTGTCTTTGCTATGTTTTGCCAAGTGGCAATGGAGTCTGGAAATAAATACGTATGGTACATACAGTATAAGGCCTTGTGACAAGGCCTTGATTATGCCAAGAAGCCCAAAAGTGGTGGTATGCGTATATCGTTTCTGAAATTTGTTACAAGATGTTCACTAGCCTTAAAACTGAGATAAGAATTTTACTTTACAAACAAATTTTCCAAAAGTTTTCCATAATACAATTATCTCTTATCACTCTGGAATATATGAGCCTTCAAAGTCAAGAACATTATGCAAGTCAATTCTTTTGATGGTTGGAGAATTTATGTACATAACCTATCTATTAGCACACAATATCCTTATTAAGCTGATTGTTGTGTAAATGTATCTTTTAATTGTGTTCTGAAGACACAGCTCTACTATTTAGAATGACAAGATCGCATACATGTAGGAATCACACTTTCTTTGTGGCTTCATATTTGTAAAGGGCTCGAGAGCTTTAACTTGTTGGGAATGACCAGTATGCATTGGCATTTTGTCAGAGTTTGCACACATGTAAAACAACATGCATGTGGACCATGAAGAACATGGGAGCACAGATTTGATGATATTTACCATCATCAGTTATAGGAAATTCCCTTTTTTCTGGTGCTGTCTATTGTTATGTGCAGTTTGTTAACAAGGTTAAGATTGACTGACTCTGGTCCGTATTTCCTCCAGGAGCTTTTCTCTTGGGAAAGTTTCCTGTAAAAACAAAGAGAATTGCTGTCAACTATGACATTATAAAACCTGACCAGATGACACCAAACTACAATGCTTTCTGTTTATGTTAAATAGAAATGGTGTCATTCAAAAACACATTGTATGTGCTATTTTACTGAACATCACATTAAAAAGTAATTCTTCCTAACTGGAAACGATGATGGTCAAGGCTGAATGTCTGGTTCCTGGCAACTGTCATTGGTACTAAGGTTGAACGTCCACTTTTCATCTTTCAGGGTTTTGTTTTGTAATTTTTGTAGTGAGTAAAACGCAGTGCAAGTTTGCACCACAAGCCTACATGTACATGTGTGGTGTTTCATCATTCCTCACACAATCTTTCTGTCAGTCAGTCTTGTAGGACTATGACTTAAACTTTGCAAATTGAGAAGCTGAAACCTGGTACCAGTTGCCAGGTCTGATAACACGGGGAGGTACTCTGGGGGGAATTATGGTGCCCAAGGAGCGGAAAAACAGACTGTATAAGTTGTTCCTTCACTACACAATCCAACTGTACAATAGTCAAATGCAGGCTTAGTGTTTTCATGTTTTCGTGTCCTACTTGAGTACCTGTATGTATTGTAGTTGCTCTGTGTTTTTTTCCGTGTTCACATAAAATGTAAAGTTGACGCAATTCAGGAGCACTTCCTACTCCCACCATGTTGATTGATTTGAATAAAATTTAAAATGAAATTGAAACGATGCCGTACCTCCTCCCTGGTGCTGGTGTTTCTGACTTTGACGACTCCGTCCTTCAGTTCCTGCTCCCCGATGATGGCCAGGAACGGAATGCCGTGGTCCTCCGCGTACTGAAACTGGTTCAGAAGCTTAGGGTTCTTCTTGTAGGAGAGCTCCGTCTGGAAAGGAGCAAGTCGTCGTGTTAAAATCTGGCTCGGGATCCCTAAAAATGCTGTTTCTGATTTTTGTAGTTCTAAGTAGACATGCCTGGAAAGACTAGACACTGGCCAGATAGACAGATTACATGCCAGGGGAGTTGGTCTGCTAAAGGAGTACAGTTTGACATTCAAGATCACACCGTTCAAAAACTGTTGCCAAAAAACTGGAGCAAGAGACTACACTAAGCCATTACAATGTAAATGTACAATGTGGTCTATTTACAAAGCAATAATTAAGTGGATTTCTTCACCACTTGGCACCTCTTAGACATCAATTCATGGACTTCAAAGAACATAGCCACCTCTGACAGGCTTCGGGAGCGGCTTTAGCTGAACCGCTTTAGTCCAAAGCCTGGTAGAGGCTAGGATACACATACCTTGATGCCCCCCTCCCACAGCAGGTTACAGAGCTTCATTCGCTCCTCCAGCATGTTCTTCTGACCAGACGCCACGTACACTTGTGTCTCTGTCGTGCGCACTTTTCCTTCAGCCGCCTGGAACGGAAATAATGTCTCATAAAGGTGAGTTAATAGTAAAGCAGGTGACCTCAGACTGAGTACAATGCATGATGCTTTTTCATTCCTCAAAGTACAATGTAGTCATCATGATCGTCATTGTTGGGGTTATATAAAAAAACATGACACATCCCTACCTCTGCCTTTGCCTCCATGATAGAGAACAGTCTTTCAATCCCTATACTGACTCCCACACAGGGAACCTGAGAAAGCAAAAAAAAAAAATTGATTCTACATCACACAAATTGAGGCTACATGTAATTATAAGTCTTCGACAAAAGCATCATATCATGACAATGAAACTGATTCTGACAACATACATAAAATACAATCATCAGGAAATTAATTTGGAAATATAAAACAAGTCATTAAGTCTGACCTTTTTGCCCTTGGGATCGAACATGCCGACCAGGCCGTCATAGCGCCCCCCTCCCGCAACACTGCCCACACCGACAGGCTCACTCTTGTCTCCTCCGTCACTCTGGGCTGGGGGGGAAATGACAACAGTTAACTCCGGCACCTGTAGCTGCCGCTGAGATATATCATTGCAAGTTTAGTTGCTTTTTAGCTATAGTATGCTCTTGTAGTCAACGTCTACGACAGGAAGCAACTGACAGTAAACAAGATGTGAGTGTGAGTAGTTGCTTCCCTGCCAAAAAGGCTCGACCTGCATATATTCTATCCGTCACGGTGATGATGTCATGTAATGAGCGAATCATATTGTTGCACACTTGGCATCTGTTGATTGGATATTAACTCCTTACTGCCATTCAAGTTTGGCCAATCAGCACGCCTGTACGATCCAAATTCTGAACAAATGTTCATATGATGGACGGATAGTATATGTATTGTGCGGGTCCAGTATTTTTGGCAGGGAAGCAATGAAGAGAGTGTACTAAAGCTGAAAAGGCTGGCATCCAGACTACTGTAAAAATTTTTTGTATTTTTTATTTTTAATTTACTTCGGATTCACCTCAAAACAAGGCTCATGAGAGCCACTTGCATGTTTTGGGTTACAGTAAATAAAAGACATTACCTTTTTCTGCCGTGAGGACGGCCTCATAGATGACTCCTGTGTAGTAGTCTAGTCCTCGGGCCAGGCTCAGGTCAAAGGACACCTGGAAATACAACATGTGGGCTCTACTGGCTCTACAGATACAAATAACATCATCATCATATATGAGATATATAACATGCAGACCATGAACAAGGTTTGATAAGCAAACTATTTATGATATAAGTGCGGCACTGTGTAAGACACCTTGAGATAACAATGGTTACTGAAAGTTCAGTCACTTTTATTGTGGTTTTCTTTTGCAGTGGAAGGAAAATGACAGATCTTGCAGTGCAGTGGGTCGGTTGGAAAATCGATTTTCTTTCCCTGGGCCTTGGTAAAATAAAAATATAAATAAATAATTACTCCAATGGTGGTGGTTAAAATGCAAACAGGTTGTGGCGTCTGCGTGGTGTAGTGGATAGAGCATCCGACTGTCAATCAAGGAGACCCAGGTTCAATCCCCAGGCATGTCCGGACATGCACCCAGACGTTATGCCCTTGGGAAAGGCACTTAACATGCATTTCCCCCCTCAGTTAGAGGGATCCTGAGCCCTACTAGGGCTTGGGTTGGCGTTAGGAAGAGCATCCAGCCATAAAAATCTTGCTGCAAAAATGAAAGACTCGTACTTGGTGCAAGCACCCCCAGTTTTGGGAAAACTGACGTTAAATTGGTGAAAAAAAAAATGTTGACTGCACACTGAGCTCACCTTGTGGAGAACCCCAAACAGCTGGCAGTAAGTGAGCAGGAGCTTCATCTCCTCCAGACCCTGTCTCGCCATCTTATTCTTCATCATCTGGTCGTCCTGCATCAGCTGGTCTACAAGCTCCAACTGGCCTGAGGATAGAACACATGCCATGTCATGTACAGTACACAAACTACAGTCAAACCTGCATCAGGTGGTCAACTAGCTCCAACTGGCCTGATGGTACAGTACACAACTTGATTAAACAATTAAACTGGACAGATTTTGCATTGTTTTAATCCAGAAATGCACAGCTTTTAACGACATTCTGCACTGCCTTTGATGTTTAAGGTTTGCATGCCATGTACATGTAATGTACAGGACGCAAACTACAATTTGAAAGCAAGAAAATCAGAGATTTTAGACTGCAGGCAGTGTTTTGTGTTTTTGTGAACGTATTGAAACTGTTGATGCTTTCGGAATTTCTCCACATAATGCCAATTTACTCACACCGGCAAGCGCAAGGTCACCTTCTGGTGTGTGTGGCCCATGTTTCAACAGGAAAACGGAGGAGCTTACCGTTCAGTCTTACGTACTCCCCGATGCGGTCGGCCACCTCCTGCGCCAGGCCTTTCTCATCCACCATTTCTGACCGAACATCCTCCCAGAACGTCTGAAACAACCAGTCAACGATAAAATTACATGAAGCAGGTATAAAAAATAGAGGACGGGCTTTGTTCATAAAATATCTAGTGAGGTTGCCTCTATTGTACTCAGTTGCAGCGAGTTAAAAATAATTTCTGTACACTTACATGTAGAAGGCAAGGCTATTTTCTGTTCTTTTCTGAGCCTGACAATGTATTATAATCATGCTTAGTAGTCAGTCAGTAGGTTCACTCACAAGTTTATTAGTCATTTTCTACATCATGTAATTTGTAAATCTGGACATTTTCATTCTGTCTTCCAGTGACACCCACTAGTACTGTAGATGTGTTTTTATTCTGATGACACTAGCACACCTTCTGTTGTTCTTTGAGAAAGGTCTGGTAGGTTCTGTGAGTTTTGTCTTTCTTCGTACATGGATCCCTAGTAGAAGCTATATCTGAAGACTGACCTTGTCCAGTTTGTCGACGGCTGAGCAGATTGTTCGGAACTTTTCCTCGGGAACCCCGCAGACGGCAAACATCCCATCCAGGAGCAGCCGGTTGTTTAGCTACTCACAGGAAAACAACAAACAAACAAACAAACAAACAACATTTTATCATATCCCAAGTGCAACATGTATGACAGTGATTTTACTACTAAACTTAAAGCACTTGATGTTCTGATGGTCAGTGCCATTTAAAGCGCCCGTCAAGGGCCTCTGCAAGCTGTGCCTGTTTATAATTCACAGGAAAACTGTTACTCAAGCAACTTTATAGATTTTGAAAACTGTCTTAACTTTCAAAGTGTATCCAGTTGCTTGAGTAACTGTTATTAAACAGTTTTCTTGTATATCTCTTTATTACCTGGATGTCTAACCTTCATCAATACAATTCAATGAACAATTCTATAAAACTGCAAGTGTTTGCATGATCGACAATGTTTTTCTTTGTTTGTGTATTCAAGACCAACCTTAATGACAAAGTCTCCCACGTTCAGTTCAGACAGGATCTCAGCTACAATCTTCACACACTCCGCATCAGGGATCATCAAATCATACTGGCCAGCAATGTCAAAATCCTACAGGAAGACATAGCCACATATTGAGAGTGCGATTTTCATTCCAAGGTAGCCTGTCTGTGTCACAAAATCTGAGAGAACCATTTCCAATCTGACAACTACCTCAGCTCAGGATTCTCTATCACTCTGAAAATCAGTCCAATAGGAGCCCAGAATTCTCTGTCACCATGGAAACCAGTCATCGCAGTCTCCAACATTATGGGGTGTTTGACAGTGCGTGTCTATCTCGGTGTGAGTGGTTCAAACCTTACAGTTTGCTCTTACGCAGCTTGCACTCACTGTACAAAACTGGTGTGTTACACCTAGAGGCGGTTTGTGGTTATCAAAAAGAGTAGGGTTTCATCCCAATGTTAGTGGTTCAAAACCTTGCAGTCTGGTCTTACGAAGCGTGTACATACTGTACACATCAAAACTGGTGTGTTAATGCTTACAGGCTGTTTAACAGCTATGCAAAACAAACAAGCAAACAACGCTGTACTCACACACTGGTAAAACTCCCTGTATCTCCCCCTGGTCATGGCGGGGTTGTCTCTCCGGTACACCTTCGCAATGTGGTATCTTTTGATGGAGTTGATCTTGTTCATGGCCAGATAACGGGCAAACGGAACCTGCAAGTGTGTTAGGTCAAGGAGTAATGCCGATATCTTTCTCTCTTTCTCTCTAATAGTATCCAGTTTAACGTCCGTTGTTCCCCATAACTGAGGGTTTTGATGTGAGCCGAGGGTCAGGCGTGAACCAAGGGTTAGACGTGATATTCTGCTTTTAAATATCGGATCCTGTTTGTAAATATCCTGTTTGTAAATATCCTGTTTGTAAAACTACATGTATATTTTCATTGTGCAGGGTTCTAGCTGTAGTGCACTGTATTGTATTGGGCTATCACACTTTTATTTGTGACCAACACTCTAAACTGAGGACCATTATCCTTCTTTTCAATGTAGTATAGTAGATAACAGTACTTTGCTAGAATGTGCTTGTGTAATAACGTCAGATCAAATGTGAAAAATGTTGATATGACCCTCCAAACTGACAAAACCCATTTCTGATTACACATAGTCTAAGAATAATAATGCCCCCCCCCAAGCTGGTTTACTGGTTATACAAAACAAACAAACAAACAAAGAAACACAGGTAAGGATACAGTCAGGTCATATCTGAGTGAGAGAATTTCTCCCCCCTGGTCTGCCAGGTCATAGATCAGTTTGGCATCCTCTCCGTACTTCCCTGTTAGGGTTTCCTGGATGGAGTAAGGCAACAAAGAAACATAATCAACATCAGTCTTCCTGGAGAAATATACTGATACATACAGGCATGAGGAAGGCTCAGCAGGTATTTCAAACAGATAATGATTTAAGGAAGTCAAAAAATATGCATACATGTGTACGAATAATATGTATGAATGGTTTATTTCAACACTGCAGCAAGCATAGCAGATAGAATGGCTGAATTGTGTTGTGACATGACAAAAGATTCAGTAAGAGATAGGGGTGGGTACCGGTTCAGTCGGACCGGTTTGGACCGGAACAACATTCAAGAACCGAGTCCAAAAAACCGCAACGTGAAAACCGGATGACCGGACCTGATGTACATTTCTGTACATTGTACACACAACACACACATCTTTAGATTATGAGTGAATCTGGCCATGGCAGGTAAAAAAAATAACCCTGAATCATACTAGATTAGCCTAAATCCATGTTTATGCGTTCAAAAACAAGAAAAAAATTGTTTCCCGGTATTAGTCTCTTGAAACACGGCGCTGAATATTGACGCAAAAATATTTCGTGCACGGCGAGCCCTCCCCCATTGTTCAGACTGTGACGCAATCCCGCGTCACGTGTCGGCATTTCGCATCTCTAATTGGTTGTTGCGCCCGCTGCTGGCAGCGTAAGCGGCAGACTTGAGCGAGCCGACGCGCGTGTAAACAACTTTTCTTTGTTCGATATCGGCGCTAAAATGCTATTTTCCACAACCACACATCGATATTCTAGTGAAGAAATGTATAGTTTCAAGAATCTTTGGGGAAAATATATGCTTCTATGCGGATTTTTAGCGTTTTCGACGTGATTTTGTCGTCACTTAACCCGGAAGTGTGGACCGCGGCGTGGCTAAATTTTTAGCGTATTTTACCCTGCGTTTTACCAATCAAAACAATAAACAACCCCCGCAAAGAGAACCCTGTAACATTTTAGATCGCAGCAATTAAGTATTTGATCAAATTATTTGTGGATGTGCTGGCATTTCAGCCGTATTATTCATCGGGAAAAGCGACCTCATGCACGGCCGTGTCGTGTACACCAAGAAATTGTGTCTCGATTGCCAAAATATGATATACTATACAGTATACTACTGTACAATAATCAGGTCCGGTTTCAGGTCCGGACCTGGACCTGATCCTCTGAACCTGATCCGGACCTGGACCTGAATTTTCTATACCGGTACCCACCCCTAGTAAGAGACATATTCACATGTAAAACACTAGAGTAAAAACAATCTGTACAAAATGTGCCAATAAAGTGTTCATGCCTCGCACAAGTGGAATTCTGAACAAAGTCTGCTGATTCCTTGAAAAATTATCTATTGGAAAATAACACCCTACTCCCAACTTCAGTGCTCCTTTAAACAAAACTGTCTTCCTGTGACAAGACAGATTTTACCTTGAGTTCGAAGACAGGCGTGTCTATCGTCTCTGCTCCGTGACGTTTGAAACAGTTGATGATGGTTTTGAAGACCCCTTCTCTGATGGCCATCTGACGAGGGTTGTAGTCCCTGGTACCCTGCAAAATACAAAATTCAAGTTAATGTTAGCATCCTTATGGCACCCAACACACTCAATAACATAAGATTAAGAGCTTGACCACACATCAAATTCTACAGGACAGAGGGGCCCAAAGATGTACTGGTACACATCCTTACAACAGTGAGACTAGTATTGTACAATGATAGACAACAATTGTTAAAACATGTAAGAACATGCTCAACTATACCTTCAAGATCTGAGCAGGTTTCCTAGTCTTACATGGGAATACATTCCCCATACTCCAACACCAGGAAAAAAATGCAAGCACGTTTCACATCCTGTCTACATCATTTGTGCTGCTGATCAGCTACAGTGTCATGCACCCAGTGGAAAGAAAAAGGACTTTAGAGAACAAAGGAAAGTCTCAATAAGACAACACTGTGTCTGTTTTCTCCCCGACACTGTTGACACTCACATCACAAGTGCAAGGCTGGAAGACAAGACACAACAGTGGGGACTAACAAACATTATTGCAGGCCACACTGACTTGATTATAATGGATGACATCCATGTGTTCAACGATTTTCTTCTGTTCACCATTTACTTGCACCACCAAGTCTTCCAAAGTAAAATAAGATGTGAAAAATTAGATAAAAAATAAAACATTTTTTGTTTGGTATGCACTGTACATGTACCAATCGCTCTGTGTGTCCAGTCTTTTGTTCAACCTTCCTGATCACCAAGATTTCATAATGAAGGCCAATTTTTTCAAGGGGGCAACTTTTTTCAACAAGCTTAAGCCTGCATCAGTTTTAGATTGTTCAGAGGAACGTGTCATCCACATAATCAAATCAGAAAAGGCCTTATACATAAATCTAGCAGTTGTACCTTGGGTGTTTTAAGCTGGAACTTCTGAGGTCGAGCATCTCCCAACTGCTCTTTCAGTGACAGGAGTTTCTCAACTTCTTCACTTATCTGAAACAAAACAAGAGGACAACAAATCAGTCACAAAATTACAAGTCGGAATACTTGACCCAGGTTTTTGCAAATTAAAAAAGTCACAAAATTAAAAGAATAACTGTTGACCTGGGTTTTTGCATAAAGAAATAGGGTAAGCAAACACAGAACCAACTTGTACCCATCACATGGTTAACACAGGGTTAGTGCCCACACATGTGATGTTGACTTTCCCACATGTCAATGGGTAAAAGAAGACAAGAAATCATAATTACCTTCGCCAAGAAGGTTATGTTTTCAGAGGCGTTCGTGTATGTGTGTGTGTGTGTGTGTGTAAACACGATAACTTGAGAAGGCCTTGATGGATTGTCTTGATACTTGGTAGGTGGGTAGGTCTTGATGAGACCTCAAAATGATTAGATTTTGGACCCCCTAGCGGCTTGTTATAGTACTGCAGCTGAACTTCCGGTTTTGATATCTCATGATCTAGACATGCTATGGTGATGAAATTTGGATGGTAGGTAGCTCTTGTGCTGGGGAAGAAGTGACCTGAGTTTGGGCCCCCTAGCGGCTTGCTCTGGAACTGCAGGGATATATTCTTGAAAATATTCAAAAGGGAATAACTCAAGAACCGGTTGACGGATCGTCATGATTTTTGGCAGGGGTTTTTCTGAACAGGGGAACAGGGGCGCTGCGCCCTCATGTAACAAACCAGCGCCCTCATATCAATTTTCAGATTGAAGCCTAAGTCTTTTTCAAAATTATCTTTTTCCAGTAAAAATACAAAAACAACACCACATAACAATGTATTCTAGCATTACAAACTACTTTACTCTCATAAAAAGTCCAAAATCTTACCATAAACATGAAAATTTAGCTCTAGTAGTAAAAGTTTGAATGGAATAAACAATGTTCATTGAGAACTTGCTCAAAGACAAGTAGCTAGACCTCCTTCATTTGCATACTATAGAACGTACAGGCTCTGAAGTGAAACATGAGACCTGAGTTTGTAGCAGCTTGGATGAATGTGTTGCTATTTTGCCATGGGAAAGGTTTGAGCTTGTGGCAAACCCAGTGTTGTCATCTGGTCAGCTACTACTACATGTAGTTACATTAATCACTAATTGTGTAAGTGTATAAAGGGTGATTTGCAGATTGTGTGTACTGCTGATTGTAATATATTTTACAAGGGAGATATGCAATGCATGAATAGAAATTTGGGGAAAATATTGAGAAAAATAACCTTGAATTTTTTTAGTCTATTTATCCTTCTCCTACATGTATGCCTTTCACATACATTATACTAATGGAAATTTGTATTGAGCAATATATTTATCATATTCAATTAATTGTAAGAGGACTGTGTGAGTGAGTGTCTAAATATTTTTTCACAACCAGGTTACATGTACATCATAGTTGTTTGTTTTTAAAGAAACATACAATGAAAGAGTTCATATTTCCCCCCTCAAGTAGCCTCAAAATGTCCCATTTCAACTTCAAATTTTCAAAGGCTTCACATGGCGGAAGGGGGGATACCCCCCTTCCGCACCAACCCCCCCTCGGTCGCTTCGCTCCCTCGCCATGATAGTGCTCCCCCATGCCAAATTTTTCTAGAAAAACCCCTGTTTGGTATGTAGGTAGCTTACGTGATGCTTAATATAATGATGTGACAATTATGCAAATATGGATGTAATTTGCATAATTTATGGGGAAATTCTATAAATCAGCTGCATTCCATGATAGGACAATTGAAGCTTGTGACATTGGTAACTGACAACGAGAGAAACACAGGCAGATATTGATTATGTTAATAATGACTTAATTTGCATAATTAATGAGAAAATTTTATAATTATGTAATGATAACTGCCTGGAATTTCATACTTGTGGTATTTGAAAGTTAAGATGAGGTGAACATCATTAAACATAATTTATTCAAATCAGGACCTCATTTGCATAATTTATTAGGAAAAACTAGAATACATTGTTTGTTAATATAAGACTGTCTTTTGGTTTAGATTATGATAAAATGATATAATTCATGAAAATTAGGTTCCTATTTGTTAAATCAGGGGGGAATAATCTAATGTATAATTTGTCAGTCATAAAGATTAACATCATTTGGCGAAGGTATGAGATCGGGGAACTCTAGTTATGCACTGCAACTGACTTGCCCCTGTAATTTGTACATGCCTTCAACACTGTCTAACATGCAAAATCAAACAATGCAATTTAATGTTTTGCTCTATTTTGGGACAATACGGAATCCTACACTTTTTGTACCATCTGAATCATATACGTATCCATACAGTATGTATGTAAACGCAGTTACTTTGGCAGTGGTCTTATTTCATGTTAGAAGGGAAAGAGAGGTTTTAACTTTTAACAACTATGTTAACAGTTGCAATTGAAACATATCTGTAGTACAGCAGTCATACATGGAAGACATATCCATGGGTTCACAGTGGAAAGCTAGACCCAAGTCCAAAAATAACACAACTGTAAAAGTTTGACAGTTTACAGTAAACGCAATTTTGCTTTTGGCGAAATGCTGACCTGTGATTGGTTGGAGCAGTACCGTTGCAGCATCCCAGCATGCCGTTTGCACAGGCGGACCGCGGACACGCCGAACAGCCGCAGGTTAGCCGCCATGAGGTCGTAGGTTGAAGGTCGAAGGTCACATACGTTGTATACAACACAGAGGGTTCGGTGAGGGAATGCACAGAAACACGGGAGACGGGGTGGGGAAGTGAAGAAAATACCTGGTCAGCAAATCTGCGACAACGGTGGGGGGTGAGGGGGATGGATGGGGAAAGGGGAGGACAAAGATTCTTAATCAGTGGTTATTGCTACATGTATGCTGCTTTTAAAAAGCATGTCGGCGGAACGTACCGCACCTGTGTGAAACCCAGATTTTATTTTTCACGGTTTTCGTTGAATGTTTTGTCAACGTTGCATCAGAATTTTGCCTGTGGCAGACACAACATTTGCAAATACAACATTCTGAAGAAGTATAACATTATGGGTTTTGCCAAGACGCAGTATGTTCTGCCAATGTGCCCATGTCAGAGGGTTGGGGTTCATTTAGGAAGTGGGTAGAAGGATTGGGAAAGTGACAATGATCTTTAACCTAGCCTTGATAGTGATACCTTAACCCATACATAAATGCACTTAACGTTACTTACAAGTTAATCCTGTGGTGGTTTTATTTGTTTTTTTTATGGTAAATACCTCCCCCTCCCTTCCTCTGCCAAATAAAACCCCCACAAAAGTTTCATGAATTAAACCTAATCCAAACTGGACATAACATGAGCAAAACATATGTTAGACTTCAAAGCTGCTACTCCTACTACATATACGATACTGTTTAACTGAGCCCACATGTTTATATTACACAATTTACAGTTCAAAGGGCACCGCTATAAAACGTTTATTACTTCTTCCAACAACACATCACCTAGTATATCCATATGGCACACAATCTGACTAAAATAACGTTTCAAAACAGCTGCAGTTGCAAATCAAATGGCTAGCTGTGCTATCACCTATCCATATGCATGGCACACTGTCACAATCTCCCTCAAATAACGTTACAAACCCGTTCTTTCCACCTCTCCGGTCTGTCCTTTTTCAGTCCTTTGATTCTGTCCCCTATCTCCACCATGCGTCGGTACGTCCGCAAATCACCAGCCGACCGACAACAGGGGGCCAAAACATAAACTTCCTTCTCCATTTTACAAAACTAGTCTTGTGCAGACGGCCGTTAAGAGACGACTTTGTCAGGTAGAACTGTGTTATTGTGGTGTCAGATGAAACAATGCCCAGTGTAACGACTTATAAAGGCACCGCGAGTTGTTGCAACGCTATTGCATCATACACGAACTGGCCACATCCCTCCGAAGGACCACAGACCAAATATATGCAAATGACTGCTATATTTGTGACATCTTTGCATAATAATGCTGATTGCGGACACCCCTGTGTGAATGTGAACGTATTTAAAGAATGTGAAGATAAGAATAGACAGGATACACTAGCGAAAAACCACGTGTGGAAAGGAACATACGAATTTTGTAGACGAGTTTTGCTCTCTGCAAAATCCGGCTTTGAAAATCGCCCAAATATCGCTGTTTTTCGTACATTTTGAAGTCGTGTTTGATGTTGGTGGAAACAGCAGGACCTCTAGAACTCACCTTTTCGGGATCTGCCTTCTCCTGCTTGAGTTTCCTGACTATTTCTCCCTGTTTTCTGATGGCTTCTTTCACGTCTGCCATGTCGCCAAGTCCGGATTTGGGGGCAGCCATCTTGTGCCGCAATGCGCCACGGGAAAGGTCAATGACCTCGTGCCGAGGCCAGCTGATAGATGGTAAGTTGTGTGTCTGATTTCTGCATCAAATTTCACAATTCAGACTCAGTTTTAAAGTATAGAAAGGTGTTTAATAAAAGGAGATGTGCACAAACATCTTGTGAAGATGTAAAATTCAATTTAAAACCCATGTATGGTCGGTATAATGTTGTGGTCAACTAAAAACTCACTTGTCACTACGTTACTATTACTAGCACCCCTCCCCACGTGTTAGTTTCTGTGAATTAGATATATGATATTACTGATAACTGAATGTTGGATATGCTGTGCTGTATTTTCAAACTTTGACATACTAGATTTCAAATATATGTAGCAATAAATTAATGTCATGTTTTAGTCCTATACGCTATACATGTGCATGTAGCTTAGTTGAATGTGTTGGTGGAATAATTGTTAATCTAAAAATATTGAATATCAATGAAAATTTATCATAAGCATAACTTTTTTTATTGAGTTATTGTTTATTCCAAGACCTGTGAGGTAACCTAAACTTAATGTGTTAGTGGAATAGATATTGTTAATCTGAAAATATCAAATATCGATAAATATTTATTATAAGCATCTTTTAAGCATCTTAAGCAACTTTTTATTGAGTAATTGTTTTTTCCCAGCCCCATGAGGTAACCTGACCTGTGGCAGCCATGTCCTACAGCAGAGGTTCTGGGTGTAACTTAATGTGTTAGTCAAATGTTAATCTAAGAATATCAAATGTCAATGTCAATGAAAATTTTAACTATAAGCATAACTTGTTTTATCATCTTTTATTCCCAGAGACCCTTGAGGTGACCTGACCCGTGGCAGCCATGTTCAGACTTCTACCGAGCCAGTGCTGGTTCTGGATGTTTAATGTGTTAGTGGAATACATGTATATATTTTGTTTTGAGACATTATCATATTAACGTTATTTCCAGCCCCATGAGGTAACCTGAACCTCGGCAGCCATGTTCTACAGCAGCACCCAGCGGCAGTTCTAGATGTTTATAATTGATTATTAAAATTTAAAAAGTGTTATAGTGGAATATATAATCATGTATTTTGTTTTGAGATGTTATCATATTATTTCCAGACCAGCCCTGTGAGGTAACCTGACCCGCGGCGGCCATGTTCTACAGCAGCACCCAGCGCCGGTCCTGGACCTTCAGCGGCGCCGACGAGCTGGCAAAACTCCGTTGCCACGCCAACCAGAACGTCCGAGAGAGACACCAGGCCGGCGGCAGGGACTGCAGCAAACTGCTAACCCCAGAGGAAGAGCTGCTAGTGTGCCAGTATTACCACGGCAGACTGCGGGACTTCTGTGTTAAATTTAACCCTCCCATGCCCAAGTCTGTCATGGCGACCGCCAGCGCTTACTTCAAGCGGGTTTACCTACAGAACTCAGTCATGGAACATCACCCGAAGATTGTCATGCTCACCTGTGTGTACATGGCATGCAAGGTACTATCTGATAAGCTTTTATTATCATAAGTATCATTATGAAATAGCTCTGTTAGAATTGTAGTACTGGTTCTTAGTTCATGCAGGGCTCAAAATTCACTTTTGGGAATAGGTGCACTGGTGCTAGCCTATGTAACCCAAGATCCGCCACTGGATGTTGGGCGGCCGGCAAAAGCGATTTAATCAGGCTACACTGGTGCACCCAACCTACAATATTAGGCTCGAAATTCACTTTTGGGAATAGGTGCACTTGGGACGTGCACCCAACCTAAAATATTAGGTGCACGAAAATTTTGTGGGTGCACCATACAAAACAAAACCTAATGGCAGATCTTACTGCTCCTCTTCTGAGGTTGAATCTGAAATAGGAACTTACTTCAAACAAAGTACAACAACAAAGCTTTTAATAGTTTTATTATTTTTCTGACACTTAGATGCCAAGAATATCCTGTATACTATTAGACATATCTAAGAAAATAATTGGGTGCACAGCTCCAATTTTTGGTGCACATGCACCCAATATTTTGAACCCTGTCTTGTTTCTACCCTTGTTGTTTCTTCTTTGCCATACAAATTGTAACGTTACAGATAGTCGAATTTATCAAGAAAGTTGATTTTATGATTTAATTTGTATTAGGTGGAGGAGTTCAACGTGTCAATCATGCAGTTTGTCGGGAACATCCGCGCTCGTTCCGAGGAGCGTGAACGGGCGGTTGATGTGATCCTTAACAACGAGCTCCAGCTGCTGCAGCTGCTGAACTTTCACCTCACCGTACACAGTCCCATCAGGCCGCTGGAGGGCTTTCTGATCGACATGAAGACGCGTCACCGCTCGGCCGAGGAGGTGGAGAATCTTCGCTGCCGAGCGGAGGAATATCTCGACAAGTCGTTTTTGTCGGACGCTTGTCTCCTGTTTCCGCCGTCGCAGGTTGCGCTCGCGGCACTGTGGCATGCTGGGAACAGCGTCGGAACGGACGTGCTGTCTTACGTCCACCAGTGTTTGAGCAAGAGTAGTGACAAAGCTGACCAAAGCGTACTGCTGAACCAAATCAAAAAGGTGCAGGACGTAGTGGGTAGCGTTACGCAGCTAGACGCGAGCCTTGTTGAAGAAGCGAAAGCAAAGCTAGCTGCTGTTGGTAGCGTGGAGGTTTCACACGACAGCCAGGGCGGGAAAAGGAAACTAGCCGATCAGCAGGGGAAGCAAGCGGGGAAGAAGAAAGCAAAACAGGGAAAGTCTGAGCAAGGAGAGGGGGGACTACTCACTCTATCAACTCTGGAGTAAAAGACTCTGTTTGCTTAGGCCACATCAATTTAATTCCTTAGTTCTTGGATTTGCCGCTTCTTTTTTTTTATTTGCATAAAATCTGTACATGTATTTTCTTAGTACCATTCAGGTTCTGAATTAAGCTGGGGGGGGGGGCATCTGACATACCGGTACTTTTCTTTGTAGTCTTTGAACTCACCAAGGTCATGTTTACCATGAAGAAATTTTTGTGATACCAAAAATTTTGTTGATATCCTGATGCACAATAATGCTCTGAAGGGGCCAGACTCAGTTCTAACAGTTTCTACATTCCAGTGTAAGATCTGTTATGATGTAGATGAAGAAAGGGAGCTGACTTTAAGTTTGTTTGTTTGTTTCGCATAACCGGTAAACTGCCTGTAGGCGTAACACACAGTTTTGTACATGTGCGTACATGTACAACCTGTGTAAGACCGGACTGTAAGGTTTGAACCACTCACATCGGGAAGGTCCCCTACTCTTTTCGATAAGTGCGGTGGGTTCTTTAACGTGCGTGGGGTGTGGCTCTCCCCAAACACTGGACTTCCGTTTAACGTCCTATCCGAGGGACGTCCCTAACCAAAGCTAGGTACTCATTTACACCTGAGTGAAGTGAGGAAAGTCGTGTAAAGTGCCTTTCCCAAGGTGACATGGGCAGGATTTGAACCCGCGACCTCTTGGGTGTGAGCCGAACATGCTACCAACTGCGCCACACGAACCCTTGTAGAAGTTAGAGCTATGATTTTTTTTGTTTTGCATTGCCAGGAGACAGTGCCTTCAGGTGTATTCACCAGTTTTGTACAGTGTGCACAAAGCTCCAGACTGTAAGGTTTGATCCACTCACACGGAGATGGACCCCTACTGGCCCTGGTCTTTTGAATGTGTGTGTGTGGCTCTCTTCAATCACAGAACCTCTGGTTTTACATTGTGCACATCCGATCAAATAGGATATCCCAATCAACTGAAGCTAGGTACTCATTTTCTCCCGAGTCGAGTGAGGAAATAGGTGTAAAGTATGTTTCTCAAGTTTACAACATTGGGGCCTGCTTGGGATTCGTACTCATAACCTTTCGATTTTAGACATGTCAACTGTGAATCCTAACCACAGGCCACCTTCCCACCCCTTTTCAACCAGTTTTGGGTTTGTTATAAGATCAACAATATTAACCAAAAGCATGCAAGACCAAGATGGACAGAGACCCCTTTTTTGTCCCAAAAGAACTTTTTTATTGCTATTATTTAATGTGCAAGTGTACTGATGATACAATCACAACACTGACATCACTCGTGTGTGCCAAGAAGTAGACAGAAATGTCCTTGAACCAGTTTAGTTCACTGAAGAGCTACATGTACTCTTCCACTGGTTGTGACAGAGAAGACAGATGCCGACTTATACACAACTGGCATTGGGCGTGTTAAGGACTGTTTCTAGTATTACAAAAGAACGTTTATATGCACAAATCCCAGCACTTTCCTATGTACAGTATTTACAGGTTCATTGTACCAGGGAAATTCCCCTAACTCTTCAACAAGTACAAAGAACTATGGACCACAGCTAAACATCCCATCCTAAGGACTGCAGCCCTTTACAGTATAGTGTACATGTGCTTATTGTATGAGGAACAACAGCTGGGATTCAAATTCACATTTTTTTTGGTCCAGAGTTAGTACATGTATTACTAATCACTCGACTATGCACACTACATTTTAACATGTTTTACAAGTCTGCAAGTACCCTTGGTAGAAATAAACAAGAAAACTTGCCATATTTTTTTGTCAACATTTTGTATGAAATTAGAACATTTTGTATAAAATCAACAGGCACAGCCTTACAATTTGATATGAAATTGTTTTCAATCATTGACTAAAACAAATGGCTGATGCCGTGAAGAATAATCATGAAACAGGAGTCATCTTCAAACTAGCCTGTTAATAGTAAGTTGTACAATAATTGTATCTTCATTCACTTCTTGATTATTTGCAAAAGTTATTCATTAAGAGATGTGTTAAGACTTCAACTGGTCTCACTGACTACAGATCTAAAATTGATAAACAATATCATGAACAATGCAAATTTATTTTAAAAAATTGAACTACTGATTTTCTCTAGGACTAGGATTTTTCTCTAATTCTGTCTTAATAAGCAACTGCATTTACATGAATCAAACAAGGAGAAGTCGTAGACATCGTCCCTCCATGAAATAGCTTGTTATTTTGTAATCTTTTGGTGTATTTTAATAGAGAGTCAAACTTTGTTTTTATCAGCAGAATGATAGATGTCTATAGATGTCTATCCTTTAAGAATTTTGTTGTGGCACTTCGTATTGGAAGGGGTTGCCTCAAAGCTGTCATGTGCAGGCGTTTAGTGTCTTGTTACCATGGTTTGTTTGAGGTCAATGACCTCTCAAGCACAACATATTAACAAACCACAGATGACCCAGTTCCCTGCTGAATGACCGATTAAAGATAAGATATATTTCCTGCAGACACGGTCTAGAGGTAAAAATAGATTGGCCTGACCTGCCAGCTGGAGATATAAACAAAAACACTCTGGGGTCAAACAGACCATCCTATTATGAAATAGGGGTGAAAATGTGAAAATCCTTTTAAATGAGCAATGCAAATCTACGACAACCTGCTAATGCACGCTAAAACGCAAAGACAATCAGCGTCTACCCACATACCAAAAATGATCGCCAACCATCCACCGGGTTCTGAGATCATTCAACGCAAACAATCTGACATTGAGATAGCAATTCCGGTTCAAAGCAAACAGCTAGGGGGCCCAAATTTAAATCACTAAACCATTGTAACCACAACTACATGCTACCTTAGCATCGCACACACAGACCATAACGTGCCAACAATAGAATAAAAAAATTAAACTGCAGTACCAAGGTCAATCACCAGATGCTCAAAGTCAACCTACACAATCTCCAAGGCCCCATCCATCAATCTGCCAAATATCATACAGTTCCTTCTCACCGATCTTCAGATATCAGACCAAACATGAAACGGAGTAAAAACAATACCCCCCATTTACATGGAGGGTAATAATGGTACAATGTACTATGATAGTAAGAATTGAGAGTAGCCTGCTCCGAAGAAAGTTCACCCCATTTCCTGTGTCTGACCTTTTGACATGGCATTCTTTCCCCACCAATCTACTCTCTCCTGACTAACAGACACACAAACCCACAGCTCAGCCACCCAAAACAATACTCCATTTCCCAGAAGTAGATATTCTTCGACAGTCATCCAGACTGTGTAGAGAATAAATAATCTCCAAGCAGATCATACGGTGGCAAGGCAGTATCCATTGGCCAGAGGAGTGTCCTTTGGTGGTTAATGGATACTCCTGTGGCCAATGGATACTGCCTTGCCACCGTATGATCTGCTTGGAGATTATACAGAACCACATCTGCAGTGTTGAGTCCAGCCAGATGCTTCTGATGTTTGTGTCAGCATTGCTCTTTCCTGTAAGAGAAAAAAGACACTGTTTTAAAACCTCTGGTCTCCATTGTCTCTACAATCATGAAGGTGTACACTGTGTGACTGGTATTCATGTATATAATGGTCTACATTGGAAGGTGGACCCCACCCCTCTCCTTCCACTGCCTTTTATCTTAGCAACAAAAGTCAGGTGTCAGGTTTACTAGTGGCTGGAGTGAGGAAAGTCATGTAAAGTGCCTTTTTCAAACCAACATCTAGCCAGAAATGCCAGGGATCAAACACATTCACATATATATGGTCATCAGACAGAGTCTAAATCCCTCCTGGTATAAAAATTGCAACATGATGTAATCCAACACCGGTTGCCATGGTGACAGACGTCTGGTTCAGGTCATTGACCTTATTTGTTAGGAGAAGAAGAGGAAGAAGAAACAGAGCAAAAACAATACGTTTTCCTTTGGTAAGCATAAATACCTTGAACATTCAGGATTCTTGTCACCCTCGTAATCTTCCTACTTCTTGGCTTTGCTCGCAACTGTTTTGAAAATTGTGAAAAGGCAGGATGAGAATTTGTCCAGAACTTCTTGTTTTTCAAAATATACTTGTAGAAAACCCAATAGTTCCATTTTTAGCTTGTTTGTTTGGACAGCTCAGAAAGGACAATAAAGATAGTATAAAGATTGTAATGCACAGATTGCTCATTCCTTGACTAAGACTGAAGTTGTACAGTCAAAAATTTGGGTAAGTCCAATCCCCATGTGTTGGAAAGTACAGTTTAAACTGCTTCATAATGACGTCTACTAACACAAACCTACAAGACAAGTATAAAGTGATGTTACCTTGGCAGATAAACATCTGTTCCCAAGAGCAGCGAGCGGGTGTCCATTTATTTTTCTTTTGCTTTCTAACGTAAACCCTCCTGTCCTTTCTGTCAGTTCTCAGAACCCACAGCTTGTTATATTCAACGCAGTCCTTGCGGTCAGAGTTGCGTATTTTCCCACCAAGTAGTTCCCAGTTCGTGAAGTCCCCTAGAGGAGTGCCGTCGATCCACTCGAACACTCCCTCCTTCACGTGATCCGTCAGCCCGAAACGGACAAACTTGTCGCCTGCCACCCTGTTCTTCAGCTTGACCAGGTAGTTGTTTATCGTGCTGGTACGTGGTGTGGCCAGGACGCCGCAGTCCTTCTTACAGACCAGCACTGACTCCATGTAACTCTTGGGCTCAGTGAACACGCGGTAGCAGTTGTCCTCAAACAGTTCGTAATCTGGGAGACATGGGCCGCTAGTAACAGTTGTCATGGGAGTCGTCGTAGCAACAGGAGTGGTGGTGGTTGCCAGGGTGGTGGTTGCCAGGGTGGTGGTTGCCAGGGTAGTTGTTGTAGCGACAGGAGTGGTTGCCAAGTTAGTTGTTGTAGCGACAGGAGTGGTTGCCATGGTAGTTGTTGTAGCAACTGGAGTGGTTGTCAGGGTGGTCGTGGTTGCCATGGTAGTTGTTGTAGCAACAGGAGTGGTTTTCATGGTAGTTGTTGTAGCAACGGAAGTGGTTGTCATGGGGGTGGTGGTTGCTATGTAAGTTGTTGTAGCGACGGCAGTGGTTGTCATGGGAGTCGTGGTTGCCATGGTAGTTGTTGTAGCAACGGGAGTTGTAGCAACGGGAGTGGTTGCCAGGGTGGTCGTGGTTGCCATGGTAGTTGTTGTAGCAACGGGAGTGGTTGCCAGGGTGGTCGTGGTTGCCATGGTAGTTGTTGTAGCAACGGGAGTGGTTGTCATGGGAGTGGTGGTTGCCATGGTAGTTGTTGTAGCAACAGGAGTGGTTGCCATGGTAGTTGTTGTAGCAACGGGAGTGGTTGTCATGGGAGTGGTGGTTGCCACGGTAGTTGTTGTAGCAACGGGAGTGGTTGCCAGGGTGGTGGTGGTTGCCATGGTAGTTGTTGTAGCATCAGGAGTGGTTGCCATGGTAGTTGTTGTAGCAACGGGAGTGGTTGTCATGGGAGTGGTGGTTGCCATGGTAGTTGTTGTAGCAACGGGAGTGGTTGTCAGGGTGGTTGTGGTTGCCATGGAAGTTGTTGTAGCGACAGGAGTGGTTGCCAAGGTGGTTGTGGTTGCCATGGTAGTTGTTGTAGCAACAGGGGTGGTTGCCAGGGTAGTTGTTGTGGCAACAGGAGTGGTTGCCTAGGGTAGTTGTTGTTGCAGCAGTGGTGGTTGTCATGGTGGCTGTGGTTGCCATGGTAGTTGTAGCGACAGGGGTGGTTGTCATGGGAGTGGTGGTTGCCATGGTAGTAGTTGTAGCGACAGGAGTGGTTGCCAGGGTGGTGGTGGTGGTTTCCATGGGGATTGTTGTAGAGACAGAGAAGGTTGTCATGATTTCACTGGTCATGCTACCTGCTGAGCATGTAAGGGCGGGCATAGTTTTGGTGAGTTTCGGGACAAAATGCCGATTCCTTTATTCTCAAAAGACCAAATTTTCTGTGGTTGAATCACCTAGTCTTGTTCCTATACTCCAAAAAGCAGTTACTCGAGCAACTGGATATGATTTTGAAAACGTCAGACGTTTCAGCTAGTATCCACTAGCTTTCGTCAGAGACCAGAGGTGAAATGCAGGTATATAAGCAAAAACTATTGATTGATATGCAAATAAAGTGAAGACAATTCTTTTTGGAAGTCGAAAATGGAACAAAAGTCGGACAAGACAAGATAATGCAAATTAGTCAGAGAGCTCCTGTTATGCAGAACAGTTCCTATACTGTTTGGTCTGATACTACCCACCCCACCACTACTGTACCTGTCCTTAAAGCTTGGTGCTGAACGATGATTGTAAAATTTTTGTTTCTTTCAGAACGGAACCTTTCATCTGGCACGTACACCGGCTTCATGGAGTCGTATACAACATTTCAAGGCCCAAATATTTCTACTTGGTTTGGGTGGTTTGTTACTAAGAAATTACCAAGTACCAAAGAAATGCGCCTGTCCTTGGTGCTGAACTATGATGGAACTGTTACAACAGTCAAGTGTCAATTTTCTTTCTTTTAGAATGGGTTTTTCATCTAGTGGCTACGCTTAGGGCTACACCAGCTAGATACTACTCTGTGGTATCACTAACTCTGCTCTCCTGGGCTGCAATGCGACCCTCCCTGATAGGGGGCGCAGGGTGGACCGGCCACATTGTATCCACAACCTTGCCTACCTGGTTCTACAACTAAATGGGTTAGGGCTTGGATCAGGCACGGTTCTGGATAGTCTCCGCGTGTCCAAGAACGTAGGTTTGCCTACAGGCACGATTCTGGATACGCGTGGACTGTCCAGAACCGTGCCTGAGCAAGACTGGATAAACACGGTTCTGGATATCCGGATACAACAGGCCGCTATAAGATAAGCGCAATTTAATCAGAAGAAGAGAAGAAAATACCTGTCCCTCCGGTCTGCATTTGCATGATGCCACGTGACACACAGAGCGAGCCGGTTACGTTGTTTTGGTGGTTATCTCCCAGACCCTGAAAAATTACTTCAAAGTGTTTGTATTTGACCTTGATGCCGACCTCTTTAGTTTTAATTTGAGTACGCTTTCTTAGCCGCTCGCTTCCCCGCCAAAAAGGGGGCCTGTAAGCCCTTTTCCGTAGAGCGTAATCGGCCGTTTTAATTCTACGTAGACGGACCGCTCTAATATTTTTGCGTAGAGCGTATTCGGCGTTTTAATTCGTAATGCGTTGTAGCCACTTGAAATTTATCGTAAAGCGTAATCGAGAGGTTCCGAATTCAGCGTAGAGCGTTGTCGGGACCCCCCTTGCAGGCCCTCCAAAAAGGCTGGACCCGCACGGGGTTAAATGTTAAAAATCAGCGCGCCTGTTCAAATGCAAAACAAATGTTTAAATGCCAGACGGGTAGAATATGTGCGGGTCCTGTCTTTTGGGCAGGGAAGCGACCAAGACAACAAACTGAAGATGAAAAGGCTGGCATCCATTCAGGTAAGTTTATTTTATCGTTAACGTGCAACGACGGACAACGACGGACAACCAAGTCAACGTGCAATAGAATTGTGCAGTGACTTGCTTTCAATATCATGTGTCGGAAAAAAATCTCCAAGTGCACAGTTCGGCTCTGAAAACTGTATGCATTTCCTAGCCTAAAATCTACCAGCCGCACAGATTCACATGCAGGCCTACACATTCAAGATGCACAGATAGATGACTTATAGTAGGAAAATTCACTTTTATAAAGATACATTAAAATCACTATCATATATTCTTTAACCAGTAATAAAAACAGAACAGGAAAATGTGAATATTAGCCCAACATGTAGAGACAATTCTATTACACCTAGCTTAAAGGCATCAAATGTGATTTTAGGGCAGAAAAACTGGAAATATTCTGAATAAGGCAATCTTTGTGATATTGACATATACTGCCCCACATTAGCACAATTAGATTAGCATTTCTTACTTACGGCATTTCAAAATGCAGAAACAAGCCCCAAGATTAGTCCTTTATTTTCTGGATGGTACCCTAAAAATCAGCCCAGGGCCCTTCCAGTAACCATTTCCCGTCAGAATGTTGGGAATGTGTGCTCTATGAGGGTCAATATACATTGGGATAGTGTGGTTTCAACTCACTATGTAGATAAACGACTAGAATCTTGACTTTAAAAAAATCAGGTTTCCAAGCCCTGAAAACTGCACTGGATGCCTTTAAATGTATGAGAGTGAAATAGGTGACGAAGGCGGTTTACGCTGTAGTAAGAGCCATTGAGGCACAAGGCCAGAAGAACTCCGATGACGACAACAGTTGCTATGGCGACGCACAGAACGACGCTGCAGAACGCGGGAGATCGCACGATCACGTGACAGGCTTTCCTCCAATCGTTCTCCATCTTTCCTCTGACGTCATTGCTGTCCTTGGTAAGGGGCTCTAGGAATTAAAGATGATACCGGAAGGCTAGTACTAAGAAAAACTCAAAACGAAATTTACTTTAACATCAACCGGAGATCGTAGCCAGGTTTCAGACTTCCTTTCGTGGTATTCGAGTCTTATTTAGGTCACGCCGACTTAATTTTATGGATGACATCCTCGCGTACATTGATTTTCGTCTGTTCTCAAAAAAAATCACGTCCTCCGAGGCTCTGGCCTGGCTCTAGGCCGGGATAGTCCTTGATAGTCCTTAGCGTCATCATGGAGCCGGTGGTAACCCTGGAGGACGGCACCCAGGCTACTGAAGCTCCACGACTAAAGAACTCAGTACATACGTACAGTGCCAGTTCATAAATTCCGCAAAAAGCCGGCTTGTTGTATACGTCGATATGTACTGCCGCAAATACACAATACCAGCTTTGTATTCCTGTGGTTTAGTACTATAGTAGCATTTTTATTTTTGGCCGGAATTTTTTATTCGCCCGCGCGCACTAGTTTGGAGTTCTTCAGAGGATGTCATCCAAAAAATTAAGACGGTGTGGCCTTATTCAAGAAGTTACATGCAATTTCCTGTCCTCTAAAATTTCCAACAAGTCCTGATAAATTCTAACTAAGGAAATCTAACGGATAAATTCCAAAATCTACTAGTACCTACAAACAAAAAAATGCATATTTTTAAGTCGTTTTGTTTGCCAATAGACCTATTAACAAATCTTCCCACAAATGGCACAAAATGCAAGAATATCTTCACATTTACAGACGAAATAATTTCAGCCTAAGTCAAGCAACTACCATTTTGAAACCTCCCCCATAAACTGAATCGTCCCGTCCGTTGACGTCACCATTGCCATGGAAACGGCACGTATCCAGACAATAAGCTCAGGAAGGTTGCTGAAGGAATACTTTTAAGTATAAGCTGTGGTGTTTTCTAAATCCACACCATTTGAGACAGCTCTGATTCCTCGTTGAACGCCAACTCGTACTTTGAATAGATCATAGTTAAACCATGCATCATTTTATAGCGTCCAGCAGTAGAGATGCAATACGTGACTAAAAACAACAGAACTATTTCTTTGAAGCCTTGTTGATGAGTCTACAAAGTGCGTCTGTGAAGGTTAGACATCCAGGTATATAATGAGATACACAACAAAACAGTTACTCAAGCAATAGCCTAGGGATAGATACAGAAAATACTAAGTTGTGAATTTAAAAGGCTTCTAGCAAAGACTCGGAATCGTCCCAACATAATTCTACCACCAAGAGCTTTCCCGTGGCAATAGACATAGCCTTGGTACTTTCTTTTGTTTTTTCCCTTCTTGTTTACGTTTTGCTACTTCTGTACTTTGTTTTTGTTATTTTGCTGTATCTCATTTATCACAAGAATTTGTGATGGTTTTCTTGAATTTCCACACATTTTGTTTCTTCAATTGGTTTCTTATAAGCACACACAGACTCATTCATTCATTCATTCATTCATTCATTCAGTATTGCTGTATATGCACAGAACATTCAATGTAATACACAACACAGAGCACTGTGGAATCATTTCTTAGCTCAAAGTGCAGCACTTTGTCTGAAAACAGTAATGGTATTGTGTTAATATGAATAAAGTTAGGTGACCAAAAGGGCTAAGATTTCTATCCAACACTAAGTAAAATTGGGACTTACCCAAATTTAGTGTGGATAGAAAGCTTAGCCCTTTTGGTCATAATGAAGTATACCAACACAGATGAACTTTCATGCTATAAATTTGTGTGCTTTCTACTCACTGCTGCTGCCACAGGACTCTTCGTCCTCTTCAATTGAGATTCGGCTCGAGGTCTTGTCCTCTGAGTTCTGGTCTTCCGTAGAGTTGGCGTCCTTCTTGTTCTTAAGCTTCAGGTCGTCGTCTGTGGCGCTCTTTTCCTCTTCTGCCTGTTCAGACGACTTCTCTTCTTCTATCATGTCTTCCTTCGTAGGGATGCCTTCCTTTGTGACATCTTCCATCTTGACGTTGTCCCCGTCTTCTTCGATGGGCTGCAGTTGTTTAAGTCCGTCGCTAGGAGCGCTGCTAGCTCCGTCTGCTATCTCTGACTGCCCATCGTGGCCGTACTTGACGCTGTCGGTGCCCAGTGAGTACTCCTTCTTGAGGTGCTTCATGTGGTACAGCGGGCTCTCCTCACAGTCTAGGAAAGCTTCTTCACGGATGGACCCCTCAATGATGCCGACGTCCTCGCCATTCGCTGCCGAAAGAGCGTCTTGTTTTTCGTCAAAGGCGCTCGGTTGGTCTTTTTCGATGCCTTCGCCAGTATGGTTGCCGCAGCCGAGAATTGGACTACCCGGAGGCCAGACGATATCGGTCTGTGTCTCTTTGTCAAGCCCGGTGTTACCTCTATCTTTCATACCGCCTAGAGGTGTTTCTTCTCCGTCTTGGGATGTTTTTGTGGCTGTCTTGTTGTTTTCGCTGTCTGGCGGTCCCTCTGAAGCCTTTTTCGAGCGGTTCCGATGTTCCTCTAAGTCGTGTTCTGGTGGACTTCCGTCCGGTGTATCGTACTCGTCGCTAGAGTCAGATTCACCGTTTCTACATTTGCCATTCACGCCTGGTGGTTGGTTCGGCTGATGATCTCCGTATTTCTGGCCCTCCGCCAGGCCATCGCTGTTTTCTGGGTTGTCCAATGCGTTATCCGTCGTTACAGCGGAGTGCTGTACAGCCGTGGGGAACGCGTGGTATATGTCATCTTCCCTTCTGTATTCTTCAGACCCGGAATGGGCCTCGTCACACCCAGAAGGGGACTTGTAAGACCCAAAATGGGCCTCGTAAGACCCCGAATGGGACCCGTACGACCCAGAATGAGACTCATAAGACCCAGGTTGGGACTCATAAGACCCGGTATCGTCCCCTGCGTAGCTCGCATTGTCTTGAAACTCGTCTTCTGTGACGATGGGGCACGCGCGGAACTCCATAGCGAAGAAATCCATGTTGGACAAACAAACCCACCGACCGGCGCCGGCGCCTGTTCGGTCTGCTGTGAGACCTCACACGCTTTCACCGCCTGTATTAAAGCTACGATTGTCTGTGTGACGCAGTTAGAGTCGGTAGATATAAGAAAATATATTTTGTTCTTTGATATGTGGGTGTGAAATGATATGTGTTTAATCTTAAATATTGATTAAGAAGGTGGACTTAAAAGGGGTCCTTCTAGAAAAGTCTTAGACTAATTAATTTGAAACCACGAGCGGTTGCGTAACGCCGCAGCTAGCTAAGCTCTGTGACCTTTTCGCTCCAGCAACTTTTGAATTTATTCATATAAACATATCTAGAGAGAGATATATACGTATATCTGTATCTGTACAGCCGGTATAACCGCCCGTCGGTGTAACACACCAGCTTCACAGGCACGCGGCGCGGCGGTAGCTGGCTACATTACATCAAACGACTTTGTCAGAGAGAAAGACGAAGCTCTGTTCCTTTGAAATTGCGAAACGATGTTTAACATTAAACATTGTCCCCAGAGATATTAATAATGCATTTTTACCATATGATCTATCACAGGTACCTAGGCAGTGTTCTCGCCAGGCCTTTTGAGTATAGGGTCCCCCTACGCTGTAATCTGGAAGCCTATGATGTGATTTGGACCCCTGTGCTGTCCTTTAACCAGCATAGGGGTATTTTTTTGGGAGAACCTTCATAAATCTTAAAAAATTATAAAAATAAAAGTATAGCTTTAGAATGAAGCTATAGCCTTAACTTCACAAAATCTGACCCTCAATAAACAAGAAATAGTGTCTCGGGGAAGTGAGTTTTAATTTTTTCTGTTCAATGCGCGACTTGCGCCGTGAAATTCGTCCTTCTGTATCTGACCCCTATGCTGGGAAAAAATCTTACTGAAAACCCTGCTAGGTATAGGCCGTTGAGGCCGCCCAGATTGTTTTGTATTCCTGTCACCAAGGTTTATATCCCTTTGTCGTACCCTCCGGCTAGCTCGACAGCCTTTTTTTAAAATCCCTATGATTCAGACACACTGATTCTGGGCAGCCCTGGTATGGTTGTACGTGCAGCCGAAATGACAGAGAAAATGATGCCCGTGTCATGGTGACAGTGTTTCCCCCTGCAAAATAGAAAATGTCCTGATCAATTGTTATACCTTATGTCAAAATCACCTAGATCCTAAATCTTGTTTTTCAGCTTTAGTACGATTTTTTTCGTCGCTTCCCTTCCAAAACGACCCGGTGGTACATACATATTCGGATTGTATTTGTCTGGTGCTGACGTCACGTAAAAAGTTAATTTAAATCCTCATGCGCCGGGCAGATCCTGTGCTGATTGGATGGCTCCATACATACTGCCGCTCGGGTTTAGCCAATCAGCGCGCTTGCTCAAATTTGAACAAGTGTTCCAATTACAGAAGGATAGAATACGCGCGGAACTAGTATTTGTGGCAGGGAAGCAACAAAAGGAGCGTACTAAAGCTAAGAAAATGCATCAAGGCTATATTGTGGTAATCCATTAATTTTGTAGCTCTTTATTTTTTAATTTTCATGTAATAAAAGACATTGTACCTAGAAATCACGGGTGTCCATCATTTTTGCCGCCAAGTCTCTTCTACGTCGCGACTCGGCTTTTGACTACATGAAGCAAGTCGGGGAAAGAGAACACGAGACAAGTTGAATTTTATCATTAATAACAGTACATGCCAAGCACCATGCAATTCAGATAGTACACACAGCCAGACAAACAAACTATTAACTCAGCCACCCAAAAACAACACTTCCGTACCCGGCAGTAACAATTTGGGGTCGTGTGGCGTAGCGACAGCGTGCTCGACTCGGAACCAAGAGGTCCCGGGTTCGAGTCCTGACATGCCACCGATCTTGTGCCCTTGGGAAAGGCACTTTACACGACTTTCCTCAATTAACTCAAGTGAAAATGAGTATAGTCCTGTCGTGTATTCGTCCTCTGCGTTGGCGGCGGCATAAAATAAGTTGATATAACTTGAGTGTGCCGTCACCATGTCTAGTCATGAAATGTTGGAATATAAGAAAAAAAATTAAGCAACTCACCTTGGCAAATGAACATACGCGGCCAGTCACAGCGAGAGATTATCCACCTGTTCCGTTTGGCTCTGGATAAATGGTCAGCTCTGATGTACTCCACGCAGTTTTTGTCACCTTTGTTGCGTAAAGGAGACGTCCAAGCGGCGTAGTCCCCCTTACGTAGAGGACTGCCATCGCTCCATACGAACACTCCCTCCCGGTCCCGATCCGTCAGCCCGATACGGACGTACCGTCTTGCCGTTACCTTTGTCTTCAGCCCGATCAGGAATCGGTCCGTAGCGCGGTCTCGTGGCGTGGCTAGGATGCCGCCGTCTTTCTTACATATCTCCACGGACGTCTCGTAACTTTCATATTTTGCGAATACTTTGAAACAGTTGGCTTGGAAAAGTTTGTAACCCGAAGGGCATGGACCATCGGTGGTCGTAACGACAGTCGTCGGTACCATAGTTGTACTGGCATGCGAGGTTGTAATTGTAGTTGTTGGTACCATAGTTGTACTGGCAGGAGAGGTCACCATCGCAGTCGTCAGTACCATAGTTTTCATGGTGGCAGTTTTTGGTGCTAAGGTAGAAGTTTTCCTGGCAATTGTCGGTGCAATGGTAGAAGTTTTCACTGCAGTTGTCGGGACCATGGTAGAAGTTTTCATGGCAGTTGTCGGTGCCATGGTAGAAGTTTTCATGGCGGTTGTCGGTGCAATGGTAGAAGTTTTCATGGCAGTTGTTGGGACCATGGTAGAAGTTTTCATGGGAGTTGTCGGTGCCATGGTAGAAGTTTTCATGGCAGTTGTTGGGGCCATGGTAGAAGTTTTCATGGCAGTTGTCGGGACCATGGTAGAAGTTTTCATGGCAGTTGTCGGGACCATGGTAGAAGTTTTCATGGCAGAAGTTTCCATTGCAGTTGTCGGGACCATGGTAGAAGTTTCCATGGCAGTTGCCGGGGCCATGGTAGAAGTTTTCATGGCAGAAGTTTTCATGGCAGTTTTCGGGGCCATGGCAGAAGTTTTCATGGCAGTTGTAGGTGCCATGGTAGAAGTTTTCATGGCAGTTGTCGGGACCATAGTAGAAGTTTTCATGGCAGTTTTCGGGGCCGTGGTAGACGTTTTCATGACAGTTGTTGGGGCAATGGTAGAAGTTTTCATGGCAGTTGCCGATGCCATGGTAGAAGTTTTCATGAAAGTTGTCGGGGCCATGGTAGAAGATTTCATGGTATTTGTCGGTACCATGGTTGAAGTTTTCATGGCCGTTGTCGGTGCAATGGTAGAGGTTTTCATGGCAGTCGTCTGTGCCATGGTAGAAGTTTTCATGGCAGTTGTCGGGACCATGGTAAAAGTTTTCATGGCCTTTGTCGGTGCCATGGTAGAAGTTTTCATGGCAGTTATCGGTGCCATGGTAGAGGTTTTCATGGCAGTTGTCGGTGCCATGGTAGAAGTTTTCATGGCAGTTGTTGGGGCCATGGTAGAAGTTTTCATGGCAGTTTTTTGGACCATGGTAGAAGTTTTCATGGCAGTTGTCGGGACCATGGTAGAAGTTTTCATGGCCGTTGTTGGTGCAATGGTAGAAGTTTTCATGGCCGTGGTTGATGCAATGGCGGTAGAGGTTTTCATGGCAGTTGTCGGCGCCACAGTAAAAGTGCTTATAGAAGCAAAGGTAATCTTCGTGGTAGTTGCCAGCGCCATTGTAGAAGTGCTCGTAAAAGCAGAAGGGATTTTCGTTGCAGCAGCCATTGTGGAAGTCTGTTCTTTTCTCGGTGTAGCAGAGTGAAGGCCGCTATGGCGAGAACCGCTGTTCTTGTCGTGCGAACCACTCAGACACATGACAAGCAAGACTCCCGCCGTCACTACCGTTGCCATGACAACGCACAGAATGAAGACACAGAACACCGGCTCCGGGCAACGCAAGGTTTCTGGACATGTTCTCTTACAGTCAGCATCTCCCTCGGGGCTGTTATCCTCCTTAGAAAGGGGATCTAGAAACAAACAAAAATGTCTTGTACTTAAACCTTTACTGGTGAATTTATGTTTCCAGTTTCCCACACTAGCCTTTTTTTGGAGGGGGGGACTGATAGCAAGGCTATACAAATTCAGATCTGACATCTGCATGTGAATTTGAAGCCCTCTGAAACTGATGCATTTTCTTAATTTTCTTTGAGGAACTAGGGTGAAATGCCGCAAGCTAGGGAGGGGTGACACAGACTGTATTTTTATCAGGACTGAAATTTGAAAACATAACGGTTTTTTCTAGGCATTAGGTATGATTTCTGTATAATTGCATTTTACTCACCTATGTTGCTGCAGGTCACTTCATCTTTTTGAGGCCAAATTCGATAGGAAGCCTTTTTCTTCCAGGTTCTCGTTTTCAATCGTGTAGACCGTATCTCCGCTGGTTTGACAGTGTTTGTAGTCGTCTTTTGGGCAGCCTTTTCAGCAAACTCTGAGTCTTTACCGTCGGATAGAGTCAGAAACGACTGGCCTGCCATCTGATTCTTTGTTGAAAATATGGAGCTGACGCTTCGTAGCGGCCGGTTTGGACGGTCTAGTTTTGCCGCCTCGCGGAAGGATACCTCAGTAGTGATAACGTCTTGTTTTTGCTTTATGGATGGAAGAGGATCTTTCTTTGGGAGATCGGACCAGTAGGAGATGTCGTCCATGTAGCCAGTAGAATGTCCAGCAGCATCACAGTCTTTATGTTTACCTTCTCGGGCATTTCCTGGACCTCTTGGTGGATGCTTTTCTTGCTTTGCGCAGTTTACGCTCTTGAAATCACCGTGACTCGCGTGGTGATCCGTTTTCACAGCCAAAGGCTCTGTGGTTATTTCAAATGTACAGTCGTCCAGGCGGTTATCTGCTGCAACACAGTAGGAATCATAGCAACTGTTGTGGCCTCTTGGAGACATCGCGAAGTTTTCGTAGCCATTTTCCACGGCAATGGTCGGAGAAACACGGCAGTTCTCAGTAGAAAAATCCATTTTTTACCGATAAAACAGGCTCTAGCGCCTCGCCACTCTGTCATGAGATCTCACACCGAGAGGCAGAGAAATCCTACCGCGAAAGAAGCTGGGTTTTGAACAACACCCATTAAAGGTCAATTTGAACAGTCGTCTTAGGATGTCGAGAAGCAACGCCTACACTACAGAGCAGCCGGCAAAGTTCAATTTATCCAGATAAGAAGGTTGACTTTCTCTGGGTAGATCTGATTTAACACGTTGTTTACTGGTAAAATAGGTCTACATGAGCACAGCTGTCCTTGGTTCTGAATGCCATCCATTTAGTCAATGGCTACTGCCGTGGTTGGGGGAGGGAGATCGGGTTTAACGGCCTTTCTTATTCGGAATGTTTTTTATGTTTGATATTTATCTGTAACATTAGCATTATTTCATTTATTGGTGTGTGGCCTACGCCGCATGTGGTGTTGCTAACTCATGGCTGGCCGGTGGCGATTCATAAAAAACGCCAGGATATGCCGGCTTGTCGTATACTTCGCTATGACCTGCCGCAAATACACAATATCAGCTTTGTTTTTCTCTGGTTTAGTAGCATTTTCATTTTTGGCCACATTTTTTTTAATTCGCCCGCGCGCACTAGTTTGGGGGTCTTCAGAGGATGTCAACAATAAGATTAAGTCGGTGTGGCCTTTGGTGTTTCTACATAGTTTCTGCTGCGGGAAAAGTCAGGTAACTCGCGCCAATGCACTGTAGAGAAGTGAGCGGCTTGGTTTAGTTTCTTTCCGTACTGAAGTTTGAGTCCATTTAGCCGGATTTACCTTAGGGCAATGAATGTATTGGATCTGTGGTGGGGTGGACTGTATGATGTAATTTAATCGGGTAGTACACACACTCTCAGGCTTGACTCTCAATCATCTGTCAAAATCACCGCCCACCCACTACGCAATAAGGATAGGACTACCATAGACATACCAACCTTAACTCAGCTTATATGGATCAGAACCAAACGAAATCAACAAAGGAAAGTAATGATATGGATCAAGAATTTATTTGAACATATAAAGAAACAAACGAGATCTTTTCAGACTGACGTAAACTTAAAAACGTCAGTATTGTATGATTAATATACAAATGTCATTATTTCAATAAGTGAAACTTCCTAATCATGTATATGTATTATGTACAGCTAACTTATGAAATGAAAATAATACATATTGACCCCAAAATATGAAAATAGGGACGTTACTTGCATTATTAATCATGCATATTTTAACATCAGTTTTCTGTCGTTACTTTTCTTAATAATTGATAATTAAAAAAATATAGCAATCGCTATTTGCCCACCGTATATAGATAACAGTGATATCGGAGGACACAAGCATTAATATGCTAAACAATAACATGGTAATATGTATGTAGACTAGGTAAGTACACGCATTTAATACAGTTCATTAGATTTATTCTATGCTATGACACCTGCGCTCTGGATTTTTAGTCATTCCTGGTTTTGTTTGACCTCAAATCGCCCTGCTGGCTGCCTTTCATTGATGTCATAAGCGAAAAAGTCGTGGGCAGACAAAATATAACAAGACGCAGGTTATATGATTGAAGTCCTATAACAAATCCAACTAGAAAGGAAACGTTTAGAACGCAAATGCATTATGCTTACCATGGTAAACAAAGTATATATAATGCTCTGTTCATTCTTACTCAAACATATCCATGTAAATGTTGACAAGCCTCTCCAACACTATGCTACATAATGTAACCCAACACCACAGGGTGTCTGCTACAGCACTAGTTACCATGGTAAAAGCGGTCTGGCCCAGGTCTTATGTGTTTGAAGGAAGAAGAAACTGAGAAAAAGTAATATGCTTTCCTTCTGTGAAGGTAAACATAAAATCGCATAGTCCTGTCCTGATAAATCGATAAACGTAGAGCGAACGTTTGCACAATGTTCTGAGACCAAAGCTACCATTCCGTGTTTCGTCCAACTTTGTGTTTGTGTTTTAAACACAATGGAACGAAAGCATTATGGAAACAAAATCCCGCAGCATTCTTTTACTAACTATAATATTTTTGCATCAGATATTGCTAGGTTGAATGGCATAATTTAAGACAAAACTCTCATTTCATCTTTCATCTAAGTCATCAAAAGCTGTCCTCAGCCTCTTTATCACATTTACTTTCAGCTCTGCATATCCAGGCCCCATCATAGTAGTGTTTTCAACACTGGCTTCTCTTGCCTTGTTTCTTGGTTTTAGTTTTTGCATTTGATATTTGAAAAACCCTTTCAGGTCATTGTCAGTACTTTCTAACTGCTCATCTTCCTTTGCGATATGATAAGACTCGTCGATGATGGCCACAAAGAAACCGATCAAACAGATATTGAAGACAAGGACGAACAGAAACAGAACAAAAACGCCCAGATTTCCAGTCGTGGTGGAGATTTCGGCAAAGTTCAGATCACCGGCTATGATGGTCACCAAGGCCTCGAAGGTCCGAGCGAAGGAACTGTAGGAGCGCATGCGCAGGCCGAAGGTGAGATGCATGAGAATGGCGAAGGCGAAGAAGTAGAGAAAGAACATGACTGAGAATCCCGAGAGCGGGCGGACGCTGAGTCGGAGGGTGTGGGTGAGGAGAGACGCGCGATGGCTGAACCGCAGCAGGTGGGTCATCTTCAAGGTCACGCTGCACAGCAGAGCGGCGACGACGTAAGTGTAGACCCCGTCCCAGAAGGCAGCGCGCCGGTAGTTCACGAAGTTTCCCGCGAGACCAGTGACGTCATCGCCAGCCACCTCTTCCAGAACTGCCTCGGAGTAGAAGAAGGTGGCGACCGCCGCCAGGGACTGGAGGATGATGATCACCTCCACCCAGTTCCAGAAGTCCATGAGGTACAGGGCTCCGCTGTTGTAAGCTTTCCTTACTGTGTTTGGGTCAGATACAAGAGAAATATGAGGCATTCAATGAAGTTACATATCCAACATCACTGGAACATAACTCAACCAATGTCTCTACAGGCTAAAAGAATACGAACCTTCTCTGATGGCGAAGACCAAAGTGAAGACGGCGAGCGCGGAGATGTAGACGAGCGCCATCCAGACGTCCCAGGCGCCGTGGAAGCGGTAGAGGCGGACGGTGTGGACCTCCCAGCGGGGGAAGGCGGCCCCGACACCCGGGAACTCCACCAGTAGAGTCACGATGGAGAACAGGTTCGCGTCGGGCGAGTACAGCGTCACGTCCGTGAACACGGCTCGGGTGGCTGAAGTAAGATAGTTTTAAAAATCGCTGAGGACGCATGCTTATTGTGGGAGGGGGATAGTGTATGGTACTAGAGAGCTGTGAACTTTACCAGAAGAGGTGGTCTGAGGAGTCATAACTTTATATTTGGCCCCACTAGTAATAACCAGAAGTAATCTAAGATACAAACAACAAATTGTTTTCTGTCAGCGATATTGCATTTTTTTTAGTTTTCTTTTTTAAAACACATTTTGTTTCCTGACTAGACGATCATGTCAACGATTAGACGATAACAAGCGCCGGTCCTCATTTGCAATGCGCCATGACATCAGTTTAAACATACTTGTATTGTATTGCATAGTTTTTACATAGATAAACACCTCTGTCGATCCAGCCATGGTTCTTCAGATCTCGCAGTGTTGCCAGGGTCTGTGTTGAGTTGTGGGACGTGTCGGCGACATAGCCTCCGCCGAAATACACGTTGTGCTCTCCCGCATAGGGCAACTCTGGAACATTACACATTCAAATATTCGTAGACGAAAAGAATATATATGCAATGTATAGTTTATCACAAAAAAAGAGTAAAAAAAAAAGAGTTTGCGCCAAAAAAATTTTGACGATCACCTTGAACCCTCCATGCAGAGGCTTAGGCTTCGGCTTATTTGTGGCGTGTCTTTGGGCGTATTTTTTTTCACCTGCCAGCCCTCGAATGACGTATTGGACCCAGTCTGCCGATGATACTGCCTTGACAATCTTATACTGTCTTGTCAATTTAAAACTGTATAACAGACACTAGAAGATAGCCTCCTGTGCAGGCCTCCGGGCGGATGGGAGTTTTGATACTGCGTTTTGTAGAATTTTTAACTCGTTCTTTTGCCGGCCATCCTACAACCAGCCGCCCAGAGAAGGTTTGTACCCGCCTTGTACCAGGCTGGTCGGCAAAAGAACGCGTAAAAATTCTACAAAACGCAGTATCAAACCTCCCATCAGCCCGGAGGCCTGCACAGGAGGCTAACTAAAAGAAAGATAGGAGATTATGTACCCTGTAGATCTTCAGACGCCCGGAACCGCCATGGGCTTGTGCTGTTCCCGTCTGCCGTCCCTGCGGTGCCGTTGGTCCCGTTGAGAGCGCTGATGTTGACTGCAGGCAGCGGCAGCCACCCTTCTCCGTACCGCCCCTCGTCCTGACTGAAGAAATCATAGCGTCTGCCGCACCCTGATGTCTGGTTTGCTGGGGACACTGTCGTCAGGCAGTCAGGATCTAAAGCATATATGAATGAATGAATGAATGAATGAATGAATGAATGAATGAATGAATGAATGAATGAATGAATGAATGAATGAATGAATGAATGAATGAATGAATGAATGAATGAATGAATGAATGAATGAATGAATGAATGAATGAAATTTTATTATCGTGTCTTGTGTAAGTACAGAAGTAGTTGTATATATGTCAGGTTAGAGATTCTACCGGTAAAGATCCCACATTCTTGTAACTAGACAAACGGGAAAAGATACAGAACCAATCTTCAAGATTCTGCACGAACAACTATGAAAGGGGTGCCAGTGTAACGGACATGAAAAGAAATCTACAGTGAGAGAAAAAATCCCCACCCACCCATCTTGACTCTGGCCTGGCGGAGCCGTATCGGTCCTACACGGTAAACGGGCGGGTCCGGGCCAGCCGCAGGGGCGTCTGGGTAAAGACTCGGGACGGCTGCGTCCTCCAGCCAGGTCCAGTAGGACTCCGAATCACTCACCTAACGTGGCGGTAGTGACAATATATACAAGAGACTAGAAATGTTAGCCTCTGCTTTAAAAATGTTACCTTTCCATAGCCTCTACCAGGCTTCGGGAGGCGGCTGGAAAGAGTAGAGATCGGCCAAATAGAGAGATAACATGCCATTGGTTGGTCTGCTGTGAGAGATCAGTTTCGCGAGCAACAAACTGTTCTCTCCCAGCAGACAAACTCCCCTGGCATGCTATCTCTCTATTTGGCCGATTTCTACTCTTTCCAGCCGCCTCCCGAAGCCTGGTATAGAGGCTATGGAAAGGTAACATTTTCAAAGCAAATGCATAATGTTTACCTTTGCATATGGTCTGCTCTTTTAATTCTTACTCAAAACACATTGATGATATATATGGTGACAGGAGTCTAAATACCTCCTACTGTAAAATTCCAACTTTATGTAACCCAATACCAGTTACCATGGTGACAGACGGTCTGGTTCAGGTCATTGACCCTGTCACAGGTCAGTGTTTGGAACGGAAGAAGAAACAGAGCAAAAACATTATGTTTTTGCTCTGTTTCGTCTTCGGTCAATTCATGAACGAAGGCTAAGAAACGTAATAAGCATAATGACCATATATTGGAGTTAGGTACTTAACTTGCAGAGTACATGCTTTGTTATACAGTCTGGGTGTTACAGGACAGGTTATTGACAGGAAATGTTGCTTCATATTAACCTCTTCGAAAGACATTTCCTCGCCGTGCACAACGAGCCGCTGCACCTCGTTGGACATGTGAAAGGCCATGTGGTTCTTCTGTCCGTACGCAGCCAGCATCACCACGCCAAGGAACAGCGCGTACACAGACACTTCCTTCAGGATTGTCCTGAGTTTCCTCCGGCGGACGGCCACCATCCGGGCCTGGGCCAGATCCGGGGAGCCGGGGAGGGCAGGGGTAGGTGTGCTCTGGACGGAGAGGCAAATGCACCGAGGGTATTGTGAAAAGTCTTCTGTACTTTTCTTTGTTAACCATTAAATCCTTTTATTCGCTATAGGCAGTTTCCAGTCGAGCCCCCTGTTCTATTTCGAACATGCCGAACCTCCTGTTCTATTTCGAACACGTCGAACCCCCTGTTCTATTTTGAACATGCAGAACTTCCTGTTCTATTTCGAACATGTTGAGCCCCCTGGCCCGGTTCTCTTTCGAACATCTCCGTCAAAATCTGCCAACACCGCCAGAATGTCGTTTCGAATAAAATGGTGTTCCATCAGGAACGGTCCCCCGTCCATTGTACCATCATATGATTTTACAGCATTTATCTTTGGTGGTGGATACAAACTTACCTGCTTTTGCTCTTTAGCAATGTCCTCGCATTGCTTTAGATCGCATCTCTTCCCTTCCTCCCGTTTATCTGCTTTCTGTAAAAATATAAAGGTAACTTTTTCAAAGCAGCACATAACCAGCCATTCCAACTCTGTCCTGCCACTCGCTACATCATGTAACCTAACACCACAGTGTGTCTACTACATCACCAGTTGATATTGTGACAGTCGTCTAGTTTAGGTCATTGACCTTATGTTTTTGAAGAAAAAGACGAAAGAGAGCAAAAACAATATTGCGAAACTAATATAAAGTAATATGAAAACAAAAAAAAAATACCTTGTAAAAGACGGCGAACAGCGCTGCCATGGCGAGGATCTTGACCGGCTGGATGAGGATGAGGTCAGACAGGAATGACGTCAGGAAGATGAGCAGCCAAGCCTCCGTCTTCTCCCGCCCGAACTCAAACGAGTAGAGCATCACGAAGAACGCAGCCGTGTTGGTGGTCACGAACACCAGGAGGAACCCTGGATTTTTACATATTTACAGTCAAACTTAGGGACAGCAATTACCAGAATAGGTCCTAACGATAAGGCCAGCCTCCACAGGCTTCAGAAGCGGCTGGAAAGAGTAGAAATTGCTCAAATAGACAGATAACATGCCAGGGGAGTTGGTCTGCCCGAACTCAAACGAACGCGTGTTGGTGGTCACGAACACCAGGAGGAACCCTGGAGAGTATGGCATTTACAGTAAAACTTAGAGATTGTCTGGAAAGAGTAGAACATAGCCAAACAGACAGATAACATGCCAGGGTAGGTAACAAATAACAAAATATGTTATTTACCAATATAGGCAAACCACCACGGCAGCAGTCCAGGTGTGGACTTTTCTGGATCCTCCAGTACAGCGTATTTCTCATTCACCTCTGTAATTATCAAATTAGTAAATTAGTAAAAAAAGTAAGACAATTAGGGTAAAACACTAAAGAGTTTTAAGGTATGACAATTAAGGAACTAGTAAGGCATTTAAGAGTTAAACATAAAACCTTGAGACTTGGCCTGTCCTGGAGAAGTCATTTGAGTGACTTGGTCCCGTTTGATGTGCTGTTGTGCACGGGCAGCTTCCTTCCGTACCTTTAACAATAAGAAACAAGTACGTAAGATGGTAAATATGTGTTTAGTGTCTAATATTACTCTCCAAAAATAAGTTTACGCTTCGGTTCATTTATGACGTGTTTCAAGCTTTTTCCATCGGGATATTTTTGTCCTGGATACTGACAGCCAATGATTCTGCCCAACCAATGATGCTACAATAAAATATCTGAGTGGGCTATTGGATAGTGCCTTGCCAGTTTGATACTGTCGTGCAGCCACCAAATATCTGCTTGGAGATAAGTTTTCTATATGTACTCTTCTTCATGACTTATAGCAATGACATGGCTACATCAATACTACTGTACTACCACTAACTGTTACTACTGTAATTCCTGATTTTTTTCACGGTACTTGTACACGTATGTTCACTGTTTTCCCTGTCACTTCTGTAACGTGAACTTATCATTACAGTTAACAAATAATTCCTGGACTTTCCTTTTCCTACACCTGTCGCCACAGTGAACATATAGTTCTATGAACATGTCCATTTTTCTCAGACCGTGAAATTTTCCTACCGTGAACATAAAGAATTACAGCCTTAGAATACACACCTGTTCAGGTAAGGAAGGCTCCACGTTCATCAGGTAAATCTGTGTGCTTGACAGTTCGGTGGAAGTTGGCTTGGTCTGTGAAGACCGCTTGGCACGTCGACGTCCGTCCGACTTGTCTTTTTGGATGTCACCAGAAGTAGCTAAAGTGCCTGCATCTACAAACGACATGTAGTAATACAACCAATGGAAGGTCTCTGGAATTTTTATCAATACTATTGTTGGTGGCATATAGTATCACTCATTCCTAAACGTATGGTTTATTGGTCAAAATTTACCCGCAATCGCAGCATTTTATAGCGCTGAATTGATGCAAAAAATATAACATAATACACATGATAGTCATATAACATATTTGCTCCACACACTTTTTGTGGAACTGTCGCAAGGGTCTGTGCGGCTGCCATTCGGCGCCACAAGGTTAAGGGGACCTCAATACGACTTTCCCCAACCGAAGTTAGGTACCCATTCACACCTGGGTGGAGGCTCGTCACTGAATGACATCCAGTAAATTTCTAGCGGGAACCAATCAGAGGGCTGCTGAATAATTTGAATAATTTATCAAGGCCCACGGACGCGGTTCTTTCACTTGTAAAGTAGCCAATTACCACCGAGCCAGTGGCACACGATGGGCGAAAACATGTATTTCACACCCATCGTACGTCGACATAAAGCGCTTATACATTACAAACAGAATTTTCGTAGGACTGCCATTACTTTAGTTTGCAGCATGTGTATTGAGAACGAGTATCTTCATAATTCTGCTGGCTGTTTGTAGAAGAACGGCACAATAAAACAGTTTTCAATACCAACACGACTTAGCAGATTACACGTAATGAAGCCCACTTTTTACGCAGATTGTAGCACTACGTAATGTTACACAAACTAACAGTAGATGTTTGTATTGATTTGGTTCTTATCCGTGACCCCTCCCCTCAACTTCGACCTTGTTGAAAAGCGGCCTTGCGCCGAACAAGCATTCGAAGGAAAATAAAGGCTTTGACTTGACTTGACTTGACTTGATGTTTTAAGGAATTCACAGAAATGACAATGATAGATAATGTAACGCATATACATTATACAGCACAAAATAAAGAGTAACAGTAATGTAGTCGTCTTTGGCCGGGTATGGCAAGTTATAGTACGGTATCGGTTCAATCTTTAACGGGTAAGTTGACAGCAACAAGCAAGATGCATAGGTTCTATTACTTTTGTAGCTCACTTGCGTCTAGATTTGGGACGAACCCATGTTACTTTTTCGCCGCAGTTTTTCATGTAGTGGTTACTTCGACAGCCTTTCCGCTGACGCAAACATACTAGTTTGAGGTTCCACAGTTCTTACAACGTTAGCGCTTGATCGAAGTGGTGTTTTCCAAGTTTGTTGGTCTGGTGATGTTGTCTTTGTTGGCTTGTTGTCTGTCATTTCCCTCCATTTTTGTGTTTGGCGGCCCGTCTTTGGTGGGTTGGGTTTGGTTCACAAATCTCGGCTTCGCTAAGATCCGGTCCTTCCCGTAGTAGTGGTCGCTCCATTAGCGCTAGTGCAGCCACATTTGAATGTGTACAGTCCCGTTTTGATTCGTTCATCAAAGTAGATTTTACTAAGGTATGACTTTACTAACTGATTGTGGAAGTACTAGTACTTAGTACTGATGTAAACAAGAAACAATATACGCGCTCTGGTTGAGTTCATGGCATTTACATGAAACAAGGTGCTAATAGCCGCTAGTCGGTGACGCGTCAGCAGCCCTATGATTGGTCCCCGCTAGAAATCTACTGGATGTCATATAGTGTACACGTGGGTGGAGTGAGGAAAGTCGTGTAAAGTGCCTTTCCCAAGGGCACAACGTCGGGCCGCATGTTCAGACATGTTCCGGGTACGACTCGGGATCGAACCCGGGTCTCGCCGTTTCATAGTCGAACGCTCTACCACTACGCCACCCGACGTAAACTTGGTATGTGGTCAGCCTTTTACTTGGTACCGATGTCATGAACTATACAAATGACCACAACAAGCTCAAATTTACTGAGTAAAGAATCAGACAGATTATTTATTTGTCCATGTAATTACCATATCTCTGTTTAATCATTTTGTGTAGATGGCGCCGTTAATGGAACTTGAGTTCGATGTCATCTTCTTTGTATTAATGCTTTTGCTGTTTTAATGATAATGAAAATAAGAATCAGACTCCACAAACGCACCCTTCTTGTGTGCTTTATCAGGCCGCGGTTTGACGCTGCGGAAAATCCAGATGATGACTGCGTTGATAGGAAACACCACCGCGGCGCTCTGCAGACCGATGACAATCTGTAGAACAAAAGAAGCAGAATATAACTGACCACAAGTATGTATATATCCAACTCCTGTACGTTTGGGACCGCATTTTCCCTGTAATTATGCATATGTGTAAGACATGTAAATATTGTACGTTTGGGAAAGCAATTCTGTAGCAGAAATCTACCTTGATCTTCCTTGTCCCAAGACCTGCCAAAAGACCAAATATTAACACAGTCCATGTTATGCTTAGTTATGCTAACCACACATATGCGGAAACACAGAAACACACACACACACACACACACACACACACACACACACACACACACAGACACACACACACCGACACAGACACACACACACACACACACACACACACATACACACACACACACACACACCGACAGACAAAAAAAAATACATTTTTCATAGGCCACGATCTGTCTCTAGACATTGTGTCTACCTGGGGCCAGGAAATCGGGATCTTGACGTCGAATCCAAAGATGTTGACGGGTTCCGGCTGGTCGAAGTCGTCTCCTCGGCCGAAGAACATAATGTTGGCCAGCATGGTGCACATGACGATGGACAGGCAGCAGGAGACCCGCTGGGTCCGCGTGAAGGGGCTGCTGGCAGGGCGGCCGTACACAGAGTACCAGATGTGCCCGTCTCTCAGGTCCCTGGGGTTCAATCAATCAATCAATCAATCAATCAATCAATCAATCAATCAATCAATCAATCAATCAATCAATCAATCAACAAAAAGTAGAATGCAGAAATATAAAAACTAAAAAAGTATAAAACTGTAAAATTAGATCACATGTACAAGCGACTATTTTGAAGCATTAAATGTATCACTGTATAGTCTATACTGAAGACCATCTCAGAAAAGTCTTAAAAAGAGATATATTTACATACTTTGTGGTTCTATCAGCGAACAGAGTGCTGAAGGCCACCAGTTGCTCGTCCTTGGCTGCAGGCAAAACCCGCTCTATTTTCCCATCGTCTTCATCAAACGCCAACCACCTGTTGTAAAGTAGCACAAGAGGCACATCACAATGTTGGATCATTGATTCAACATACAGTCGACATCGACAATTTGTAGGTAGTAGTCGTGTTTTTTTACCTTGCAAAAACAGTCACTGACCGATGAATGTTCTACAAACCCCTACAGCACTGGTGGTAGTATAGTAATTTTTAAAATGTAAATATATAATTTGTATGTATTAATGTAAACGGAAATATATAATTTGTATGCATTGACCTCTGACCTCTCTAACAATCTCTTACCTCATTACTTGGTGTACATAGAATAGGATAGGTTAAATAAGTAATTAGTTACAGGTTGTTGTATTTTATGTATAGCATTAAGCAAGTGTACGTCTGTGTTATAAGTCTGTAACATGTTTTTAAGACTCCAAGAAGAATAGTGAGTATAAGTGTATACTCACTAATGGAGATCATTCAAATAAACAAATAAACTGTTAATTTTACGGGACTGATGAGGACTGATAAAGTTCTTCAACGATATTTGTAACTTTTGCTTCTGAAAGCATCAGATATTGTCGGAGGTTTAAGCCGTGGCTTACCTGTTGCAGAGGAAAAAGTGCTGCTCTTCCAGCAGTAGATCGTCCACAATGATCCTGTCCAGAAACCTGCGATTGTAAAAAATAAAACACACGCACTACGTCACCACATACATGGAATGTAACAGTGCAAGGGAGGCCAAAAGCCTATGCTTGTATTAAGGCCACCATTTATCATAACAACTAAGATAAATCAATCGAAATTAAAAAAAAAAGAAACCATATACTTCGAAAACTTGCTAAGCAAATAATGTTCACCTTCACATGGGGATGGTCTAGCTTAACAAATTACTGCTCTGTTTATTATTACACAAACACATTCATATATACGGCGAACAGCCACTCCAAGTCTGCCCTGCTTCACAATGTAACGCAATACCAAGGGTTGTCTGCTACATCAGCAGTTACCATGGTGACGGACGTCTGGTCCAGGTCATTTACCTTTTATGTTAGGAGAAGAAGAGGAGGGAGAAACAGAGCAAAAACATTATGTTTTCCTTTTGAAAAAGTAAACACGATACACATACTGCTACAACTTGCATGTACATGTATATGAGTTAACTGTGGATACATGGGGAAGCTCGAAGGCGATGCAGGACAGAGACTACTGGGCAGCCATGGTGGTTCGGGTGGCAGAGGAGGGCTGGCACCCGACTTAAGTCAAGTAAGTAAGTCATTTTACCATGACGGCTCCTTGCCGGAGTTGTCGTGCCAGACCCGCACGTGGGTGAGCCAGCCCGGGTCGGTCTGGGTGCACAGAACAAACCCGGCCACGTTCCCCCGCTCAAACATGGCGGCGTAGGGCTGGTGCAGGAGGAACGGCCCGCACTCCCGGGCCGCCCCGTGAAGCGTGATGGACACCTACAGGCGAAGAAGTAAAGTGAAATGTAAACTAGAAAACCATTTGCCAAGTAAATGCAGATCGTTTTATCACACGGCCTAGCCTAAGAAACTACTGCTCTGTTTATTCTTACTCAAACGGATTCATGACAGACTCGTGACCAGCCCCTCAAACTTTGTCCCGCCACTTGCTACATAATGTAACCAAACACCGCAGGGTGTCGGCTACAGCACCAGATACCATGGTAACAGCCGTCTGGTCTAGGTCATTGACCTTTAATATTCATTTGTATGGAGAAGAACACCTTTGCTGTTGTCCCGGCATTAACTCTCGGCCCGGTGAAGACCCTCATGTAGTAACGAGGTTTGGGGTCTTCTGTGTCATCGAAGATTGCTGCCGTGGTGACCTAGAATAGAACAGTGTCCATCTATACGTTAGCCCATATGCTGCAAGAAATATATGTGCCAGATTGTTAACATTTTTAACATCAAAGCGAACGTAAACGTCACAAAATTGCTGGGGTCGTGTGGCGTAACGGGAGAGTGCTCAACTCGGAACCAAGAGGTCCGGTCCCGGCCCTCGAGAAAGGCACTTAGCAGGACTTTCCTCACTTCGCTCAGGTGAAAATGAGTAATGTATTGTCCCCTGTGTTGGTGGCAGCATAATATAAGTGGGAAAACGTGAGTGTGTTCCCACCACGCCTTGTGATTACATGTTGGAATGATAAAAGAAAAAGAAATTGTTGCCGTGGTGATCTGACGCAAACAACATCTATCCATACGGGCAACGTATATTTACAATATATTACGTAGTAACCATTGCCCTTTCTAGATGACAATCATTCATAAAAAAACACATCTAACAGCTATTCTATCTGCGTGACAGTGGATCACGCTTCTTTCCAATTGTAAACACAAGAGGCAGACGTACATGTACTGTTGTATTCAGAACCGTACTTTATCCAGAATCATGTTCAGGCACGATTCTGGGGCAAATCTACATTCTTGGATACGCGGAGACTATCCAGAACCGTACCTGACCCTAACCCATTCCGGCAAATAACTAGAGAGGCACTGTTCTGCCCGGTACAACACGTACCTTCCCGAGGTCCTTGGCGTCGTTTTTCCGTGTCCAGGGCACGCACAGGGCGATGTAGAAGGAGAACAGCACGCAGCACGTCATGATGCCCACCGGGTTCTGGATCAGGTTCTTCAGCAGGAGGAACCCTTTCAGCGCGCGCTCGAAGTTTATCTCGTTCGGAGCCACCAGGCCGGAAAACTTGGTCAGGTGGTCACAGAGGCAGTGGAGGTGGGTCCGACTCGTCAGTGGTCCAACCTGCGGAATTCAAGATACGAGTAGCATCAATGGAGTCGGCCATGGAGCTATGATAATTCACATTTATTTGCATAATCTCATCTCCACTATCTCCTAGTTTTAATTCTTTAACCGTTGACGATCCACAGATGACCAGACAACCATTTTTCGCCACCCTTAATATAATGGCCTTCTCAATTTTCACTCATGGCAGTCATGCTGATTCATTCTCTGATATCATCCTGCCATTTTGCCCTTGCCTACCCCTCTCTCTTCTTCTTGCATACTATATTAGACGAAATTAGTACACGAAGTTTCTTCATGCCAATTTAACGTCACTGATCCTGCCCAGTGCTTTTAACACTTGACAGGATATTCACTTTGAGATATCATTAGTCTATACGCCAAAAAGTAGTTACTCAAGCAACTGGATATGATTTTGGAAACGGTCAGACGTTTCAGCTAGTAGTCCCACTTGCTTTCGTCAGTGACTGAGAGACCAGAGGGGAAATGCAGGTTTATAAGCACAAACTATTTACTGATACACAGTGGTCTCACAGTCACTGACGAAAGCTAGTGGATACTAACTGAAACGTCTGACCCTTTTCAAAATCATATCCAGTTGCTTGAGAAACTGCTTTCTGGCGTATCTTATTACATGTACCTGGATGTCTTACCTTCATTGACGTATCATTAGTCTAGTATGTTACTAGGTGAGCGAACGATATTCCAAACGTACATTACAATGTACCCTACCTCGCAACCCCTCCGGCTCCAGAAATGACGCTTCTCGTCGAAGAAGACACATTCTACCGGTTCAATGTAGACTCCAAGCGGCACCGATGAACCGCCTTCGTCATCGTTTCCCTCTATTTCTGCACGCTTAATTCCTATTAAAGGGGCATTATGTAACGTTTTGATAATACAAAAAGTATATTTTCCAGTCTTTTCTTTACATAGTAATTTGACTTAACCCTTTAGCACTCCAGAACAATATTCAGCAATAGAAAATACAACATCCTTACATACAAGTAATGAGATACAAGAAAACTGTTACTTTAGCAACTAAAAAACTTAAAAAACTATGAATTAACTAGAAAGGCCAATATTTGCTTAGGAGCAAATACAGCGATGGCTTCACCACATTTTACGACATGGTAGGGAAAGAATGAGAAACACAAGGGAAAACAATGATTTACATTGATATAACTATAATATGAAGTAACATACAACTAAAACAACAGTTGGATAGCTATTCCCTACATTATTGGTTAGGATTTTTAATTGCATAATGCAAACTGTTGATTTTCAAAATAAAAAAAAACGTTCATGCCCCGCATTCCAATGCTGGAGCAGGAAAGCTTGAAATACCTACCAAAACACTTGAATACAGACATACTGTCAGTATGAAAATGCTCTGTGCAGGTGTTAATCAAGTTAAATCCCAACAGCCAATCAGCAAGAAATGCTCTGTGCAGGTGGAAATGCTCTGTGCAAGTGTTAATCAAGTTAAATCCCAACAGCCAATCAGCAAGAAGAATAGAGGAAAGCTGCATGCCTATTGGTTGATGCCCTGCATTCCATTGTGGTGACTCATGCCCAAACGTGGTACACAGCACAGTAATACATTTGCTATAACACAGCCAAAAAGCTCAAATAAAACCATTCTAAAAGCCTGTATCACCAAAATTTAAAAAACGCCTGGGGGTATTTGCCCACTGTACCTCCATACCAAATTTCAGGTCCTTAGGCCCCAAAATGAAGAAGCTGAATCCATTTAAAAAATGGCAGGAGAAGAAGAAGGAGGAGAAGAAACATCAGAAAAAGCAATATGGTTTCACCACACCACTTCGTGGTGTGGTGAAGCCATAAAAAAATGAATTGATATGTTATTGTTTCCCATCCAAACGCTCCCGATTCCTTTAATACCTTAGCCTCCATATCTTGCCAAAAACTGGTCTTCAGGGTCTTTGGCAGCTTTTATGTGCTATTTTCTGACTGCTTATAGACAACATAGCCGGCCTGGTTGAATTACCCCCGTTTTTAGAACTGTGCTAATCAGAAAACAGCCGAAGACCACCAAACCCCCAGTTCTATAAGCCCGCTACGGAGGCTAATCAGAAAACAGCCGAAGACCACCAAACCCCCAGTTCTATAAGCCTGCTACGGAGGCTATTAATACCTTAACGATGCTGTAAGTTCTAAAAAAAGAATTAAAGACATAATCGAATGAAAAGAATGATCCTCCCACCGAGGTACCAGTTGGTGTCATTGCCGCCCCACGTGACCGGATCTACGTCACCGAGACGCATGCGCCAGCTGTACGGATCTGACGTCACCGTGACGTTCTCAGCCAGGTCAAGCGAATAGCTGGGAGAAAAAAGAAAGTTTGGACTTGAGTACGGTTCCACTTGTCGCTATTGTTGACTTCCGTTGTCTGTATTATTTCATGGTTCAAGGTCTGAATCATATTGTACTATATACTCTTTCTCGATACTTTGTTTCATGTTACAATCAGCACTCGGCCATATGCTAGAAAGGTAACATTTAATCTCCAAGCAGATCCCTCTCGGTGGCAAAAAGACAGTATCAAATTAGCCAGGCAGTATCCATTAGCCAGAGAAGGTCCGCGGCCACCGACGGTTGGTGGGGGTCAGGACAAAAAAAAACGGCCAAAAAAAAGCTAACGATCATTCCCCCACAACCTCTGCTTGGAGAGTAATATTCGTAAAGCAAATGCATAATGTTTACTTTGCATATGGTCTGCTCTGTTAATTCTTACTGAAACAAATTTTAATACATATGGTGCCAGGAGTCCAAATCCCTCCTGCTATAAAATTGCAACATGATGTAACCCAACACCAGTTACCATGGTGAGAGACGTCTGGTTTCTGGCCATTGACCTTTGGTGTTCGGAACGAAAGAGGAAACAGAGCAAAAACAATATGTTCTCCTTCGTTGAACAAAATAACGCAAATAAAACGTGCGTATTACCGTACCACCTACCTCATGTTAGCAGGAACTGGAAGTGTAGTGGTCAGGTCGAACTGAGAGGCGTTAGGTTTGATGCCGTACGCCAGGTACAGGGTGAAGGCTGGGGACACCAGGGGGTCCCGGGGAGCCAGGAAGATGTACATGTCGGGCGGGTCGATGGAGCTGTTGTACTTAAACGGGACGTACTGAAAGGGAAACCGTACTTTCAGAATCAAAATTGGAGATAAACCCAAGGAACTTAAATGATTCGTTTGGCATAAAATGAAGAGTCTATTATTCGCCATACCATACGCTGTGTGTTTAGTCATTGTTTCAACCTTTATGACTACGTAGATTTCATAATGAAGGAAACTTTTTTGCCAAACTTTTTTTATTCGCACACTCGCGTCAGTTTTGGGGTTCCCAGAGGATGCCATCCATATAATCAAATCAACATGGCCTTAGTTGCCTCTAAAACATATTCTTTGGTTAACCATACCAAGAAAAATATTTGGCTTGAACAATACAACTACTGTATGATCCATGGACTTACCTAGCTGAAGACAAAAACAAAACTATGAACATGATAATGTGTTTACCACAATTTCTGCAACGTCGTCAAACTCCATCGCTGCCGCAGACTGGTTGTGCCTGAGGATAGAAAACTCTACGGGTTCCTCCAGGCCGGAAATCCCCTTCCTCTCCAAGGCGTCGGTGAAGTGCAGCCCCCCTATCCCGACCTTCAGGTCCCGGCGGCTGAAGTTGGTGGCGTACTCGAAAGGGTTCCTCCATCGGCTGTGGAAAACCTGAGGGGGTCCACCGGTGAAAAAAATTCATCAGGTTGGTGAATGGTTAAATAGCAAAGTTCTTTATTTGCAAACACTTGTGAATCGACGTGTCGATGATTGTCTGTCATCTTCATCTTTTTTTTATTCTAACATGTAATCACCAGACGTGGTGACGGCACAATCTAGTTATATCAACTTATATTAATGCCGCCACCAACACATGGGACAAATACATGACAGGACAATACTCATTTTCACTTGAGCGAAGTGGGGAAAGTCGTGTAAAGTGCCTTTCCCAAGGGCACAAGATCGGTGGCATGTCAGGATTCAAACCCGGGACCTCTAGGTTCCGAGTCGCGCACTCTGCCGCTACACCACACGACCGCACCTGGGAAAGTATGGCTGGTTCACTGTGCACTGGGACTGCACTATTAGCAGTGACACCTAGCTCCACTGCACAGTGAATCAGTCATAATTGCCCTGATGAAGATGACTGACGGTCATCGAAATTTCGGCTCTTGTTAACAAGTGGTTTTGGCTTTTACTACGGAGTTTCAAATGAACATCATGTGATACGCCAAAAACAGTTACTCAAGCAATTGGATATGATTTTGGAAACGGTCAGATGTATCAGGTAGTGTCAATAAGTTAAGACAAATTTTTGAGAAGTCCAAAATGAAATACAAGATAGACAAGTCAAGACAAGGATGATGCAGATAAGTCAAAGAGCTCCTATTATTTGATATGTACCATTATGTGAAGTAGTTTAAAAAAACGTATGTATTGGAATGCAAAACGTCTAACAGACTAAGTATATATATATATATATAT